ATAGCCATTGAAGGACCTATCCTCCATGAATTTATGTAGTTATTTTTTGAATCCTGTTATAGTCTTGGCCTTCACAACGTCCTCTGGCAAGGAGTTCCACTGCTGCCTATTAAGTCCTCATAGAGGGAATTTCAACCCGTCTGCCTCAGGCAATATTTGAAAAGGACTGAAATTATTTCCTGTTCTTTAAAACAAATAAATTATTTCTTGCTTGATCTTTGTCTGATTTCCCTTCACTTAAACGGGTCAAGGGAACGATCATTACAAGTGTGATCATAGACCCATAGACTTTAAAGCCAGAAGGTACCATTGTAATCATCTAATCTGACCTTGTGTACGTTGGAAGCCACAGAACCACACCCACCTGCTCCTACAATAGACTCATAACCTCTGGCTGAGTTACTGAAGTCCTCGTATCATGATTTCAAAACTTCAAGTTACAGCGAAGTCACCATTTACTCTAGGAGGGATTTTATAGTACTCTATACAGGAAGGTTGTTACCCTTCCCTTTATATGTATGACAGTGCTCCACTCCAGGTGTTGATGTGTCCCTGCGTGTTCGCTCAGAGATTTTTACAGCAGTATTGGTACCAGTTGCACATGCGCAGAGCGTACCTTAATAGTATGCATGTGCGACTGGTCTCCTCAGTCCTTCTCTACCGTTCCGGGCCTGAGTTGGAGCTCAGCAGACTTGTTAGAGAAGTTTTTCTCTCCCTTGTTCAACTTTTTTCCCTTTTAGTTTAGCTTACCAGTAATAGATAGGTACCCTTTTTCTCTTCTCTTCTCTTCTCTTCTCTTCTCTTCTCTTCTCTTCTCTTCTCTTCTCTTCTCTTCTTTTTTTTTTTTTTTTTAAACAAAAACAAAAAAACCCTTTTTTGTTCCTGTCAGCGCAGCTGCTTCCAACATGCCTGGCTCTCCTGGCGTCAAGCGGTGCTCTAATTGTAATGATGCCATCCCTCTTTCAAATGGCCACTCTAAATGTATTAAATGTTTGGCGGAGTCCCACGTCCCCCAAAATGCGCCCACTGTAGCAAGGTGAAATCCAGGGCACGCAAAGACAGGGAGCTGCGGTTAAAACTGCTCCTGCTGCAAAAATCTCTTGGACCAGCCTCGGACCCGGGCTCAGACTCTACTATCCGTGGCAGCCCCCCTGCTTCAAAGAGACAAAAGAAAACTTTAAAAAAGCATCGGTCTCTCTCACTCGCAAAGGGTATTCGCAGGGACAAGCCTTCTCCAGGTACTACTTCCCTCCCCGTGCTCCCCCGGCTGAGTACCTTTGATGCGCCAGGCTCCTCTGGTGCCGCGCGAAACTTCCCTGCGGCTGCGGCGGTCACACTAACCCCTGGTGCTGAGGCTTCAGGCTTTCAGTTGCCTGCCTCTCACACCGCACCGTTTGGCACCCCAGTGGAAGCAGTGCCGATGTATACTAGCCTGCCTGACCCGCCACAGGCTCTTCTCGCTCTCCCGGCACCATCAGCCTTTGAGCTAGCCGGCAGTGACAGGACGCTCGGGACACCGGTGCAGAGGAATCCCTCCTCACAACAGATTCCTCTTGCTCAGCCCTCCCCTCACAGGGGCACTGCAGCACTGCAATTCACACACTTAAGGGACCTCCTGGTGCCACCTAACTTGCAGTCACCCCTGCTTAACACCTACTTCTCTCTGGACACACAGGCAAGGTCCGCACAGCTTTTCTCCAGTGATGAGGAATCGGGGCTGCAGGGAGAATTTTCACCTTATCAGATCTCCTGTCCACAGACCCCAATCGAGAGGTCATAGAAAAGCTGCCTTGTCTTACTCCGAGGGTTCTGCCCCATGGTGCATGAACCCCTGGATGGCACCACCCATGCCCTTCCCACCACAGTGGCAATATTGGGCTCCATGGGCTCCTTATACTCGGGACCACACTCGTTATACCATTGCAGCTAGGCATGAGACCAGCTCAGTACCACCAGCTGACGACCCTGCCACTGACTCCAGACACCCCTGTCACAACTGCAAGAGCAAGCACAGCCTGCCTCTAACCCAGTAGAACCAGTTGTTCCGCCTGATGAAAGGTTTGGGATGTTGCTTTTTACAATCATTTTCTGTACCTCTAACCACTCTGCCATGCAGTTTTTATGGTGCTTTATTGCCAGAGCCTTTAGGAACATAGATCTATATTGGCCAGGCTAATAAACTGCTGTAAGCACAAAACACACTACGTACTATTTGTGTATGTTTCACACTCGTATATATTTAGAACCTGTAATGCTTGCTTCTATAATTTTTGCTGTTGTCAGCAGGAATTGTTGTGGTTTGTATACTTTCTCTCTCGTATCTCCTTATCCTTCTATTGGTTATCCATTACTCTCTCCATATTAAGCAGCAGAAGTAAAGAATAGACCAGGGCAGTTGTGTTCCTAACAAGATGTTGTCAAAAAGGACCAGCTCTCCTTCTTTATACACACAAGCAGAGTACGGTTTCCTGGGACAACAGGTGAATAGCACTGTTAGGAGGTAGCGTATATTGAAGTGTAGGTTAACCTCATGCTTATTGATTTTGGTGTGAGACCTGGAAACTGGGAGGGCTTTTTGGAAAACAAAAATGATGGAGGTTGAGATCCTCTGCCCTGTATTCTTCGTAGAGATGTGCTTAAGATATGAATATCGCATAACTAAGATATGTTTTATGCAAGATGGGTCATGTGAGGTATCATTGGAAAGGTTATGATTTACTGAATATGATTATCCTATTTGTATGCGTGTATCATTTCTGTATCTGAAGTTTAGGAATATTGACTATAACAGTTACAACTGTGTTTTCACCTGGGGAACAACCACCAGACAGTATGCAAACAGCCTGAATGGGTCATTGGGGGAACAATAGGTCTTTGAAGATGCTCATCTCCCTCCTTCCTGAGAAGTTTCCTGGGATGCTGCTTTGGCACTGCAGGGTCAGGTGATCATGTCACCTGGTACTGGACAACATCTTGGACTTCTAGTGTTTTTCCATTAAGAGGGGGTTGGGGTCAAACTGGGAAACAAAGGATTCCCATCATGCATATCCTGTTTAAGGCTGGGAAGTGAGCTAATCTTGGTTCTTCTCCATTGGCTCCCTGCCCAAGAAGGAAAACTGCTGAAAACACCTGAAGAAACAAAGGAACTAAGCTGGGGCGGCCAAGGGCTGAGCCCAGGCAAGAAAGGTCTAGCCTGTGAAAGGAATACCTGGAGATTTAAGCTACAAGCAGTACAGTTTACCTTCAAGAAACTCTGCAACCTGCATAAAACAACATTTTGGGTGATGATTTGCTACTATTAACCAGTTAATTTAGTGTATTGAGTTTAGGTTGTGTGTTTTGTTTCATTTGCTCAGAAATCTGCTTTGAACTGTGTGCTATCCATTATAATCACTTAAAATCTACCTTTTGTAGTTAATAAACTTGTTTTTGTTTGTTCTAAAACCAGTTTGTGTCATTCATAACTGGAGGGTGCGGGGGGGAGGCAAAAAACTGAGCATATCTTCCTCCACATTGAGGGAGGGGGCGGATTTCATGAGCTTAAGCTGTATAGATTTCTATGCAGTGCAAGACAAAATATAATTTTGGGTTTGCATCCCAAAGGAGGTATGCACTTGAGTGCTGGGCAATCCCCGAGCTGAGTCTTCCCACACACAGCTCATCTCAGTGTCTGTGTATCTTTCTGCAGCTGGGTGTGTCCCTGCCTGTGTGTGTGTGTGCTGGAGAAGGCTTGAGGGCCTGGCACAGCAGGACAGGGTGTGGGAGTCCAGGCTGGTGGAAAGGGTGGGCTCAGTGGGACCCCAGTATATCAGGTGGCACCCTGGAGTGGGGGGAGGGGGAGCAACCTGTCACAGAGGGATCCCTGCAAAAAGTTAAGTACGTTCCCAATTTTGAAATTGGAGCAGTACTTACAAAATTTCAAAGCACTGGAAGTATTGTATAGACTTCCAAAGCAACTTGCTGAGTGTCTTACTAAAGGAATTATTTTTTCAAACTTGTTTTTCAGTGGGCAGGAGGAATTATTTGAGGGACAATAGAATAGTTTTATGGAAACTTGATAGTGAATTATGAGCTAATTTTTAGGATTTTTTATTACCTTTGATGATGGTTTTGGTGTTTTCCTTGAGAATTTTGGCCAGGTTTCAGATTGGGTGAATGAAAATTGAGATTGAATGAAAAGTTCCCCCAAATAAAAGATTATCCCACACTTGGCCATGTTTTTAAAAATAAATTTTAATATCTGCGTTCTGCTTAGTAACTTCTAACCATTGCTTATCCGTCCCGTATGCATATCCCATTCCTTCTAGGGTGGAATTAGGTGCTGTGAAAATCCACCCTCTTGTTATAATCTATATAACACAACACAAAGAACAGGTGTTATAATTATGACAAATGTGTAGACTAACCGAAGAGGTAATTGTCAGTTTGGGATGGCGTTGTTTTATATATAATTTTTTTTCAAGGTTAAGTGAAATTATATGCTATCAAGTTTAAAAGATGATAACACAATTTCATCACTTCTTAGAACAAAAGTAGTTTTTGTTTTAAAGTAACAATTTTGATTTTGCGCTGTTGGGGAGAAGTAGCAAAAGTCCTGCAGTTGGCAGCTGCAATGCATTAGCCTTCTGAGAGCCTTTAAACAACATTATTTATTTACCAGTGAACCAAGGAAATACTTGGTTCACACAAAGCAGCATGAGCAACATGCTTCCTGCATAAGCTGTGAACAATCAGCAGTGGAAGGAAGCTGCTGTGCCCCGGCTTTCAAAAACCAGCGGAGCTTGTTTCAAAGCAGGGTATAAGACAAGCCAGATGGTGAACTGATTCAGCTAAGACTTACACATCTGGGAAGAAAGTTTGTGTTTCAGAAGTATTCTTGCCAAAGAGCGCAGGGTGTGTCACTGAAGCTCGTGATCTAATTTTCTCTTAAAAACAAAGGTTTAATTTCCCAATTGACAGACTTGTTTATTTTTAAATATTTTCATTGTATTATTTTTTAGGAGGACCAAACATGTGGGCTATCACCTCTGAAGAGCGAGCAAAGCATGACAAGCAGTTTGAGAGCCTTAAACCCATAGGAGGATATATTACAGGTTAATTTATGTTATACGTTAACTTCTGTGTGCATTAAAGTACCTGTGTAAAACAGTTTGAAAACCTTCGTCCTTGTTCAGCTGTTCTTTTGCTGTATGACTGATAGCCATGCTGTTTGACCATAAAGCATAAGTTTTTATTATGAACTCTTTCAGTCACAGGCTTATAAACTTTGTTTCATCTGAAATCTGGCATAGAATGTCTCTGCAAAAGGGGATATCCTTCTTATTAACCTCTGCACTAATGCAGCCAACCACCTTTTGATGTCATCCCTTCCAGTTCCATAAGCTAAGTAGAGTTAGGCCAGGTCAGTGCTTGGATGGTAGGCTGCCAAGGAAAATTTTTTGAAGTTGCTGCAGCAAATGACATTGGTGATTGAGGAAGTAGCAGTCTTCCCTCTGAATGGTGTTGAGGGACACTGTGTTGCTGGAGTTTTAATGCTTTCATATGAGATGTAAAATTAAGGTCCTGACAACTTGTGTTCATTAAAGAGCCTATGGAATTTATCACAAGTAGCTGAGTATTAACGTCTGTGCCTTCCCCAATTCCAATTTGGGTAGTTGCATTCTACCTACCTGTGTTCTTCTGGCATTTTCAGTTGCATTGAACATTTTCTTCTCCTAAAATGTTGGGTAGTGGTGCTGTTCATTGTTAAAAATCTGCTGTGTTCCATCCCAGAGAAGGCTGGAATTCAGTGGTGAAGGATCACTTACGTGTTTGTAACATACTTTGAGATAAAAGATGCATTGTGAATGTAAGATTATTTTTTCCTACATAAACACGAATGCTAAATCTTGAAAACTGACTAATGTGCATACACAAATTTTTTTTGTTTTACTGTGCATGTATTTAACAGTGTGATCCATACTGAGTGTGAAACTTGGTGTGGATTTGCATAAAAAATCATATCCCTTCCTGGAAATATTGAGTAATAAAAGTCTGTCTAGAATTGTGTGTTATGTACAGAATGGGGTTTATTTTTAAAGTTTTATCCAGAGATGGAAGAGATAGTAGAGGACCAAATTAGACTGAAATAAAAAATATATACTGTTCTCCCCCTCACTGCCACCACCAACAAAAAAGCAGTCAACGTGGCTGAGACTGAATATTCCATCGTTTACATTGTATCATTGTAAGCTCTTGGCTGCTGTTGATTTGTGACTTATAAAACAGCTATTTACAACTCATTTTACCCACTTCTTGGAGCCAAGATTACAAAGTCCATTAGTACATGCAAACTGCCATCACCACGAGCTTGTTACATAATTCTAAATTTTCAAAAGAGCTCAGCACCCAACATGCTGAGCTCTTTTGAAAGTTCTGGCTTTAATAAATATCTCCGACGTTATTGTAAAGTTTTAATACAAGACTTGTTTTTTTCTTCTTTTATCACAGGTGATCAAGCACGTACCTTTTTCTTACAGTCAGGTCTACCATCATCAGTCCTAGCTGAAATATGGTAAGGCTTTTAAAAACAAATTTAATATAATATAATATAATTAATTAATATATGATTGGAGATTCTTGGCTCACTTGTATAGATTTTGGTTTGTTTTATGTTGCCAATTGAAAGACCACTTTCCAACTACATTATATAAAAGAGTCAAACAAGAACGGTGCCTGGACTCAATTATTTCAATATATACTTGTCATTATATTTAAGCTTCAATCTCTGTTATAATAGTGGAAGAAATTAAACTGTAATGGAACTTGAGTAAAAAGGAATGTGGAGGTATAAAAAACAAATAATGACAGACAGCCTTGATTGCATTTCTTACATAATTAGTGGTTTAAGGGACTACAGTACATGCACACTTTAGGCCCTGATCCTGCAATTAAGACTCATTGTGGCTCTGCTTGGGTGAATAGGTCTGTCTGAGCAGATCTGATTACAGGATAGTGGCCACACTTGCTTTTCTATTCAAGCATTTGATCCTACTCACAAAATTCAAATTGGTCGACCATGAGCACTGTCACAAGGATTAAAAACTGGCTTTAGTATTGCAAACAAAGGGTAATGATAAACAGCAGGATATCAAATTAGGGGAGACATCTGGTGGAGTGCTGCAAAGTTCATTGTTAGGCCTTACATAACATTTTAAATAACATGGAAAAAGAGAGAAACAATAGGTTAATGAATTTCCTGCTTGATACTAAACTGTATAGTATTTGAAACACCAGTAGAGTCACTAGGGAGGTTTGAAATCTGGTCAAGAAATAATAAAATGAGACTGAGCTTGGGGGAAAAATGCTTGCTAATAAATTGGGAGTGGAAAATAGCCCAAACACAGGGAGAAACCTGGGAAGACATAAATCCTAAAGTTGTATGCTTGGGTTATAGGTAGTAAATTGCATTTAATATTATTATGTAACATCATCATCTTCCTTGCATTAATTCCATCAAATAGGGTCTGCTCTCCAAGTCCTCTCCTCCAAAGTGCTCTGTTCAGTGCTGTATATTATACCAGGTGCTAACGTGTCTTTCTTTATAACATCCCACCACTTCTTCTTGAGTTGGCATCTCTGTTTCCTTTAATCTTGATCTGTTGGACTCTCTTATCTACATAGTTGTCAGGACTGTGCTTGGCATGACCAAATCATCTGAACCTGCAGTCCCTCATTTTCATTCATTTGAGGATTTACAGTGTTAGTTTATGGTAAATTTTTACGACCAGCTTCGAACCTGACGCCAGCCCTTCTCCTTTTTCAACCAGGCCTGGGATTGGCTATGGTAGAGTTACTATAATGTAAGATAGCAACTGAAAAAAGCCACTGGAGTTTTAGTCCACATAGGAAGAGACATCAGCTCATGAAATAGGGAGGTAATAATCCCTCTTTGTGATTTCTGAGTGCACACCAGAATATTGCGTTTTGTCCTGGGCATTTCATTGTTGGAAATATGCAGACACACTAAAGGAAGTTTAGAAAAGAGACCTGTAAAGTAATTAAGGGTGTAGTGGAACTGACTCATGAGGAAACATTAGGGTATATATATATGTGTGTGTGTATGTGTGTATGTATATAATATATAATATCTATCTATCTTGGCAGATGATGAATGAGATATGTAAGTGAATAAGATACATTTACAAATATGTAAAGGGTGTAAATACAAAAAAAGTATAGGAATTCTTTTTCATGATATGTTGGGATATATGGGAACTAGGAGCAATGGAATGAAATTAAGAAAAGGGAAATTTGTTAAGTATCCGGAAAAGTTTCTGACAGTAAAATTTATTAGATTCTATGAAGTAGTCTTCCAAGGAAAGTGGAAGTTTTTGGGAATATTCTCACAGTGCATGAGCTGTCCATTGTATTTATTCACTGTTTATAATATTCAGTTTGGGAAGGTGCCACGAGAGATGTGTGAGTGTGTTAAAATTGAAAAATAAAATTCACATACTAATTGAATTCTACATAGTGATCCATAAGTATGTAGGTATACTATGTAACTATATTAAGGATTTTTAATAAGTGCCATGTTTTAGTCTTTTGAATTAATCTCTTCATTTAATCTTCATTTAATGTGATCTATTTGTCTAGTGCTGAGCCATAATTGATGCAGTAAATGTTGCACACAGGGCATGAAGGTACTACTGTGCCAAACAGTCTGCTAGTTTCCTGGGCACTGAGTGTTTAATGTATGATACTTTTAGAAATTGAGTCACATAAGAAGATGCCAGATGGTCTGTATTAGCATATATAAACAAAAACAACTCTGCGCAAAAAAGTTAAGATCTACAATTTTCTAAGGCGGGGGTGGCCAACCTGAGCCTGAGAGGGAGCCAGAATTTGCCAAAGAGCCACAGTAATACATGAGCAGCTCCCCATCAGCTCCCCCCGGCTCCCAGCGCTTCCCACCCACCGGCAGGCCAATCAGCGCCTCTCCCTCCCTCCCAATCAGCTGTTTTGTGGCATGCAGGAAGCTGGCGGGGGGAGGGGGGATAGGGGAAGGAGCGAGGGCATGGCAGGCTCAGGGGAGGGCCTGGGAAGGGGTGGAGTGGTGGCAGGGCCTGTGGCAGAGCCAGGGGTTTGAGCAGTGAGCACCCCCTGGCACATGGGAAAGTTGGCACCTGTAGCTCCAGCCTCAGAGTCTGTGACTATACAAGGAGCCACATATTAACTTCTGAAGAGCCACATGTGGCTCTGGAGCCACAGATTGGCCACCTCTGTTCTAAGGGTTTTCACATTGTGGAAGGTCGTTCATAACTTTCTGTAAAATCAATATCAGGTTAAACTACAAAAGATAGCAGGAAATAGAATAATAAGGCAATAAATGAAATTATATAAGCACTCAGTTTTGAGTGAGAAAATTAATGTTTCCTTCCCCCCTGTTTTTTTAAGGGCTCTTGCAGACCTGAACAAAGATGGGAAGATGGATCAACAGGAATTCTCCATAGCTATGAAACTCATCAAACTAAAATTACAAGGTCAACACTTGCCTGTGGTCCTCCCACCTATCATGAAGCAACCTCCCGTATTCTCTCCGTTAATTTCTGCTCGCTTTGGTACTTATGAATATTTAATACATTTACTGTTGTTGAGAGAGTCACCAAAAAACAAAAAAAAGTATTGAGGGTACATTCATATTTATATCTAACAGATGAGATCATTTGACTAAAGAAACAATGATTGCAAAAGGGATACCCTGATCTAAAGAGCTTTGCAAAAAAATTTCTTTGAAGCTGTTAAAGAATTATCCTTTAATTTTGGCTGTTTGTTGCTTATTAGCTGCCTACAATGTAATTCACACAGGAGTACCTGACTAAATCATTACACTTTTGGCTTGTAAAATGCATGAAAACTGTTCTTACGTGTGACCTACAGGCTGTCCCCTTGACCTAGAACTCTTTTTCCTTCTCTCTCAAAGATGCTAACTTCTGCTCTTTTAGAATTATGCTTTAAAACTAAAACTAGGCAAATATTTAAAATCTCTCAAGGAATAGTTTTATTTTAAACATTTTTGAAGTTCATCAAATGATTCAATTAATAGTACTCAATCAGCTCTACTTCAATATTTATTTTCTCTTTAGCTTATGATTTAATCTCTCTTAGTGTATTCTGGGATTCTGTGTATGCATGATGTTGTATATTGTGAAGCATTTATAAACCAAATAATGTCTGCCAGACTACAAATATATTCTATGCATCCAGGTATGTGTACAGATTATAAAAGTATGTGTATACATGTATCTATTCCACAACTGTTCTTAATTATTTGACTAGCTCTAAAGTGTGTGTGTACGTATATTTTCACAAGTATAGACACTTGTAAATATGTAGCGTTGATAGCCATGTGATGAATTGCAGAGCCATGCAAAAAATATCACGCATTGTTTACCACCTCACCCAGCATTCTGCCCGTCGATCCATTTTCCCCAGTATTCATTAAATAAATGATGCCAGTGCCCTGAGTAACTTCCAACAGCTTCATTTGGGAAAAAAAAAAATCCATTAGCTAGAGACGTTTCCTTGTTTTCACCATATATGGAATTTCTCCTCCAAGAATACTGCGGACAGAGGCTCAGGACAAGCAGGATTCAGTCCTGCAACAGCGACAGCTTTTCTGTACATAAATTGTCACAACTTTAAAGTCCGTTACTTTATGTCCCCGAGGGGCTAGAAGTACGAGGCTTTTAGAGAAGTCATTATAGGGTGGGTATTGGAAACGTTAGCTAAATATATTTTGAGCACATGTTGTTTGTTTCTTCATTTGTGCTTTCTTCTGCATGCAGCATACTCTGTGGCTGGAAAGCTTGAATGAGAGCTGTTCAAAGTGTGGAGAAAAATAGATCTTATAATTGAATGTAAACGTACATTTTAGAGTATGGGCACCTCTGCACGTTGACGGTCTCCTGCGTTGAGTGTGTATTGCATTTACCAGGCACAATGGATCCATTCTTAGTTGAGGCCTTTGGATGATGCTGCAGCATTAAATGTTTAATAATAGTTATTTCATTTCTCCTTTAGGAATGGGTAGTATGCCAAATCTGTCCATGCCAACATCTGTGCCTACAATTGCACCTTTAGCTCCCATGTCATCGTTGACCGCAGTGACTTCGATTCCTCCCTTGATTATCTCTACGCCTCTGATGCCTTCTATCAGTACATCATCATTGCCAAATGGAACATCCAGTCTCCTTCAGCCTTTACCTATGTCTTTCTCTTCAAGTAAGTACAACCCAGTAAGATACTCAATTCTGGATACACTAATCTAATTCTTAGTGTAGATTATTAACTTGTATCCATTTATTTTTCTTTTTTGTTTCAGCATTGCCTCATCCTGGTTCTTTCAGTCCCATGGCAGGAGGGTTTGGTGGTACTAATATACAGAAGGCACAGTCTCTGATCGATTTAGGATCTAGTAGGTATGACACTTAAGACTTAAAATGTCATGTCTTAGACTTTAGTAACAAATGCCTTTTTAAAAAATTGCAATATAACAGTTCATATTTACAAGCAGAAAAATAAGGAGATGTGTGAACAGCATATATACATGATATTTCTGAACATTTATACAGATCTAGGCGATAACTGCAACAAGAGATTAATTTGTGTTTGGATATGAGCAGTTGAATAACATTGTCAGTAAATGTAACAAACATACTCAAAGTGGGAGGGAGGTTCAGAAAGAATGGAATGAAGCGGTGTTAAATAAACAGAGGCAAAACATACAGTCCAAGGATTAGGTGTTATGGAAGCTATGTTAATATTGCAACATGTTCTTTTCTGAGGAAGTTATGTATACAAAAGTTGTCTAAAAGATTATCTATTGCAAACATTTATCTCTGAGGTCATTTTGCAAGTAATGGAGATCATAAATCTTTGTGATCACCTTCCTTATTTGTGCCAAAAGTGTTTAAAGTAAAAGTTTGGTCTCTTTGGCTGTGTCTATATTATCTTTTCTCCGCTAGAGTTCCTCACTATTGCTACAGACAGATAGGTCCACTGTAGTACTGCTGTAGACAGGGCTTCAGGCATCTAATAATGTTATGATCATGATGTTGGTTAACATTCAGAGCAGGTTTATGCAATGTAGTGTTTGAAAGGTTTAGTACAAATCAGCACTCTCACTCTTGCTACCTCCAATGACTCTGAACCAGTGGTAGCAGCAGTGCAAAATTTTAGGGGGAAAAGGTATCGTTCAGGTGAGGCTTTTTGGTTTAGGGTATTGGCAGCAAGGAGTGACTTTAGAAGCTGCAGATGTTTTGTTTTGTGGGTGAGTCAGTTCACTGGTTGAATTTTACATACATTCATGGTTTCATTTTTTGATTTAATTCATGTCTTCACTTAAATTTGCTACTCGGTCATTGTCCTTAGCCCTCAGTGTCCTGCTGTAGGCTTTTACAGGTCTTGGGATGTGTTCCCCCTGCCTTCCATAACTACTGGATTTTTATTAATATGTCTTGATGTTTTTCCCCATATTTTTCTTAAATACTACTCCGTACATGTTCTTCAACATGTTTTGTAGACATATTACTTGAATGCAAAGACTGTGTTTCAGTATGTTAAATTTTTCATTTCAGTGCTCTAAATAAACACTCTGTGCTGCATGTAATAAGCGTGTAATTCCTCTTTTTTAGTTGGATAGTAGAGATGAAAAACAGGGTTTTAAAATTCTATAATGTTTCTGTTATGATAGAGAGCAGAGAGAGGATTGGGGCCTCATTGTGCTAAGTGCTGCACAAACCAATAGGGGGAGACAGCCCCTGTTCTAGGGAGCATACTATCTAAAGCTTGTTTATTAAACAATGGAATTTAGAATAATGTATTTTTGTCTTTTTAACATTTATATTGCAGTTCAAATTCTTCCTCCACCACTTCACTAACTGGGAATTCACCTAAGACTGGATCCTCAGACTGGGCAGTTCCTCAGGCCTCCAGATTAAAATACAGGCAGAAATTTAATAGTCTTGATAAAGGCATGAGTGGATACCTATCAGGTGAGTACAGCATTTGGACTGAAAAAAACAGAGTTTTCTAATTATTAGAACTGAAAAGATTAATGATGAAATCCTTTGAAGTTAATCTGAATTTTACAACTGACTTCAATGGAGCCTGGATTTTATCCTAAGTAACCGTACGTTTTTCTGATCTTTAGGTCTGAGTCTTACCGAGACACAAAACTGGCTTATAAAAGTGTCACTATATGGGATAACTTGTTGTTCAGCTTTTATGTGTGTGTTAAATTTAAAGAATTCCTATATTATGCTACACAAGACAATCTCACTTTACTAATCTGTAAACGAAAGTTTGGGTATGTCCTGCAGGTCTGCACTAAATTTGAACTTTGCTGGTTTCAAAGTTTGTGCTTCAGAGTCTCCTACCCAGGTGGCCTTATCTTTACTCTGCTCTCTTGTTTTGGAGGATATTTTTCAAAACTCCCCCAGTCAACTAAAACTTTGTTTAACAACATTTCAGATGACACCAAGACCATCAAATGTAGTAATGCAAACCTAATCTTGTTCTTGAATACAAGTTCATACAATGAGCCAAGAGCAAATGTTTAAAGGGCAGAATTGTGTTAACATCTCTTTTGACGTGAAAGGCTTTTTGTTGTTGTTTTTTGGGGGGTTGGTGGGTAAGTGTATCTGTTGGGGGATGAATAAATAATACTTTTCTTTTAGACTTTTAGCAGTCCTCCCTAAAAGTCTATCAGACATGCTACAGCCTATATATTAAGCACTCTTTTGTGGTTTAGATCAGTGCTTCTCAAGCTATTTGATGTGGGGGACCGGCAATTTTTTTTTCCAGTGAGCGCGCAGACCAGCAGCCGATGGCCGGTCCGCAGACCACGACTTTGAGTAGCACTGGTTTAGATGGCTTCTAAACCCTTTAAACTCCTTTAATGGTACAGAAAAGATGAGACCTGTCATTTAACCAAAAGCTCTTCTGTGTAGCAGTTTTCAGTCCGATTCAGTTTTTGATTCACCTTGCATCTGTGCTTCCGTTACTCAAGAATTAAAGCTACACTGCAATCTTCGTTATAAGGAAGAATATGCCTAACAAAGAAGAAAATGGGCTGAAACTGTTGGCAACAATGTACTGATTACCTTGCTCCATTGCATTGAGTAGAACTCAGCCTGTATACCTTTTACTGAGAGACAAGGTGGGTGAGATAATCTCTTCTATTGGATCAACTTCTTTGGGTGAAAGAGACAAGCTTTTGAGCTCCACAGATCACCAACAGAAGTTGTTCCAATAAAGGATATTACCTTACGCACCTTGTCTCTCTTGTATCCTGGGCCAGCATATCTACAACGCTACCTTTTGCTGATTCATTCTGTCATAATAAAAGGAAAGGGTGTATAGATGAATGCTAGTATAAATTTATATTGGATATGAAAGCAAAAGATATTTTAGAATTCATAGAATCTTGGTGAAGAGCATTCAGTAAAAAAGTGTATTGGAGTCACAGAAGTATTCATAAGAAAACAAAAAAGCTGAGAAGGGTCAGGTTGGGGGCAGAATATGACTAAACAGCTAGGTATAAGAATGTATTTGAGGCAAAAAAAAATCTTTAAAAAAATCCCATAATGCACCTGAAACCCAATTGATGCTAATAAAGTATGCAATACAAACTTTGGAGGGCAAATATAAGTTAGAGAATGAGGGCTAAGAAGAAATTTGAAGGCAAAAAATTCCCAAATGAGGACATTAATTAAAAAAAAAAATACTGATTTAGAATAAGAAAAGACACATGAAGCAAGAAACCTGTGGGTGTGTTTAACAGACCTCTAGGATGTCAAGGGCAAGAACAGAGGATGAGATTGCAGAGAAACTAAAATGCATCTTTGCATTAGGACTTGTCTACACTACAGAGTTTTGTCGACAAAAGTTACGTCGCTTTAATTAAACCGCTGTTGCATGTCCACACTAGCCCCTTGTGTCAAGAGAGCACATTCACTCTAGCACCTCTTGCATTGACACAGAGAGCAGTGCACTGTGGGTAGCTATCCCACTGTGCAACTGGCTTCAGGGTCCTTTGGGAAGGGTTTGCAATGCCTCATGAGGCAGGTACAGTGTCACATGATGCAGGTTTCTCAATCCCATTGTTCCATGGGCATCCTACTAGATTGCCAGCTGCTTTTCAGCTGAAGTGTATGTGGGGGGAAGAAAAGGGAGAGAGTGTGACAGGGAGTATGTAGGGAGGGGGTGGAGGAGAGACAGAAACACTGTGTGTGATAGGGAAGTGTGTCTCTTTAAATTCAGACATGCGGTCTCTTTAAGGTCAGACAGCACCCTGAGCAACCAATCCTGGGGGAGAGGAACCCGCACCCCGCATCAGCCCCTGGCTCTGCACAGCACAGCAGTCTCTCCCCCACAGCAGCTGCCCGCTCTGCCTGCCTGCCAATTCCACATTAATGGTTCCGTGATTCCCTCCAAGTTCTCCCACAGCCTCCTCAGCAGTGTTGTGAGCTCTCCACACTGAGGAATGTCAAAGCTTTCCAGAGCTTTAAAAGGGGAGGGGGCGCATGCCTACAGGGCAGCTGAGTTCAAAACAGTGAGCAGAGCAGTTATGGTGGGCATTGTGGGATACTCGGGGAGGCCAGTTATGTCAACATAACGAACGGTAGCGTCTACATTGCTGCCTTGACACTTTAACTTTGCCTTAAAAAGTTTTATGCCTCTCATCAAGGTGGTTTTATTTTGTCACCAAAAGTAGCTTTGTAGTGTGTACACCTCCATTGTTTTGTCAGCAAAAGCTGCCTTTTGTGTAGTGTTGACAAGGCCTTAGTCTTCACACTGGATTATGGAGAAACAAGCAGTTCTTATTTCCATAGTGCCCCAGCCCTTCAGCTCCTATCTCACACCCCAAACCCCTCATCCCGGCCCACCCCAGAGCCCTCACCCTGCACCCCAACCCTCTGCCCCAGCCTTGAGCCCCCTCCTGTACTCCAAATCTCTCATGCCTGCCCACCCCAGAGCCAACACCCCCAGCCAGAGCCCTCACCCCACACACCCCCCCCAACCCTCTGCCCCAGCCCTGAGTCTCCTCCCACACACCAAACCCCTCGGCCCCACCCCCGCCACTCATCACCTCCATATTGATGCACATAATAAAGTTCACTCCACAAATGGATATAAAAAATTAGAGGGAACATTGTTTATGACCTAAATTTGCAGCCATGGATAGTGTTCACTTTAGTGTTTTGAAGGACCAAAAGGCAGAAATAACTGAATAACAAAAGTATGCTATTTATTATTAAATACAGCCACACTTGTGAATACCTGGAGGGTAGTCAGTGTTGAAGGACTTAAAAAATCGTTAAGGGATAATCCCAGTATTTATATATCATTTAGCCTGCCATCCTTATTGGAAAAATAATAACAGGGAACAGATCTTACGGAGTTTGAGGTTTTACAAATCTCTCAAGCTGCTTGGGTTCTACAGACTAGCATGTCTTTTCACTTTTTCCCCACTGTAATTTAAAATAGTGTGCCCTAAGGGTGATTATATTAAAAAAAAAAAAACACTAGCTAACGGGTCGCATATGATATGTATTGTGGAATAAATAAATCTCTCCCCATCTTACCTTCCTAAAAATCTAGCCTAGCAATAGCGGCAGTAACTTGTTTAAATTTATAATCACATACACACTGTGGGTTTGAAAATTTGACTTAAGTGTTGCATTCTGGATACACTTATGGGAAAGGGAGAGCTAGAAGCGGGGAGAAAAGAAGGGAGCAGGTAGTGAAAACATAGAATCATAGAATATCAGGGTTGGAAGGGACCTCAGGAGGTCATCTAGTCCAACCCCCTGCTCAAAAGCAGGACCCATACCCAATTAAATCATCCCAGCCAGGGCTTTGTCAAGCCTGACCTTAAAAACGTCTAAGGAAGGAGATTCCACCACCTCCCTAGGCAACGCATTCCAGTGTTTCACCACCCTCCTAGTGAAAAAGTTTTTCCTAATATCCAACCTGAACCTCCCCCACTGCAACTTGAGACCATTACTCCTTGTCCTGTCCTCTTCCACCACTGAGAATAGTCTAGAACCATCCTCTCTGGAACTACCTCTCAGGTAGTTGAAAGCAGCTATCAAATCCCCCCTCATTCTTCTCTTCTGCAGACTAAACAATCCCAGTTCCCTCAGCCTCTCCTCATAACTCATGTGTTCCAGACCCCTAATCATTTTTGTTGCCCTTCGCTGGACTCTCTCCAATTTATCCACATCCTTCTTGTAGTGTGGGGCCCAAAACTGGACACAGTACTCCAGATGAGGCCTCACCAATGTCGAATAGAGGGGGACGATCACGTCCCTCGATCTGCTCGCTATGCCCCTACTTATACATCCCAAAATGCCATTGGCCTTCTTGGCAACAAGGGCACACTGCTGGCTCATATCCAGCTTCTCGTCCACTGTCACCCCTAAGTCCTTTTCCGCAGAACTGCTGCCTAGCCATTCATAGAATCATAGAATATAAGGGTTGGAAGGGACCCCAGAAGGTCATCTAGTCCAACCCCCTGCTCGAAGCAGGACCAATTCCCAGTTAAATCATCCCAGCCAGGGCTTTGTCAAGCCTGACCTTAAAAACCTCATTCGGTCCCTAGTCTGTAGCTGTGCATTGGGTTCTTCTGTCCTAAGTGCAGGACCCTGCACTTATCCTTATTGAACCTCATCAGATTTCTTTTGGCCCAATCCTCCAATTTGTCTAGGTCCCTCTGTATCCTATCCCTACCCTCCAGCGTATCTACCACTCCTCCCAGTTTAGTATCATCTGCAAATTTGCTGAGAGTGCAATCCACACCATCCTCCAGATCATTTATGAAGATATTGAACAAAACCGGCCCCAGGACCGACCCCTGGGGCACTCCACTTGACACCGGCTGCCAACTAGACATGGAGCCATTGATCACTACCCGTTGAGCCCGACAATCTAGCCAACTTTCTACCCACCTTATGGTGCATTCATCCAGCCCATACTTCCTTAACTTGCTGACAAGAATACTGTGGGAGACCGTGTCAAAAGCTTTGCTAAAGTCAAGATACAATACATCCACTGCTTTCCCTTCATCCACAGAACCAGTAATCTCATCATAGAAGGCGATTAGATTAGTCAGGCATGACCTTCCCTTGGTGAATCCATGCTGACTGTTCCTGATCACTTTCCTCTCACGTAAGTGCTTCAGGATTGATTCTTTGAGGACCTGCTCCATGATTTTTCTGGGGACTGAGGTGAGGCTGACTGGCCTGTAGTTCCCAGGATCCTCCTTCTTCCCTTTTTTAAAGATTGGCACTACATTAGCCTTTTTCCAGTCATCCGGGACTTCCCCCGTTCGCCACGAGTTTTCAAAGATAATGGCCCATGGCTCTGCAATCACAGCCGCCAGTTCCTTTAGCACTCTCGGATGCAACTCATCTGGCCCCATGGACTTGTGCACGTCCAGTTTTTCTAAATAGTCCCTAACCACCTCTTTCTCCACAGAGGGCTGGCCATCTATTCCCCATGTTGTGATGCCCAGCACAGCAGTCTGGGAGCTGACCTTGTTCGTGAAGACAGAGGCAAAAAAATCATTGAGTACATTAGCTTTTTCCACATCCTCCGTCACTAGGTTGCCTCCCTCATTCATTAAGGGGCCCACACTTTCCTTGGCTTTCTTCTTGTTGCCAACATACCTGAAGAAACCCTTCTTGTTACTCTTAACATCTCTCGCTAGCTGCAGCTCCAGGTGCGATTTGGCCCTCCTAATTTCATTCCTACATGCCCGAGCAATATTTTTATACTCTTCCCTGGTCATATGTCCAACCTTCCACTTCTTGTAAGCGTCTTTTTTATGCTTAAGATCCACTAGGATTTCACCGTTAAGCCAAGCTGGTCGCCTGCCATATTTACTATTCTTTCGACACATCGGGATGGTTTGTCCCTGTAACCTCAACAGGGATTCCTTGAAATACAGCCAGCTCTCCTGGACTCCTTTCCCCTTCATGTTAGTCCCCTAGGGGATCCTACCCATCCGTTCCCTGAGGGAGTCGAAGTCTGCTTTCCTGAAGTCCAGGGTCTGTATCCTGCTGCTTACCTTTCTTCCCTGTGTCAGGATCCTGAACTCAACCAACTCATGGTCACTGCCTCCCAGATTCCCATCCACTTTTGCTTCCCCTACTAATTCTTCCCGGTTTGTGAGCAGCAGGTCAAGAAAAGCTCCCCCCCTAGTTGGCTCCTCTAGCACTTGCACCAGGAAATTGTCCCCTACGCTTTCCAAAAACTTCCTGGATTGTCTATGCACCGCTGTACTGCTCTCCCAGCAGATATCAGGAAAATTAAAGTCACCCATGAGAACCAGGGCATGCAATCTAGTAGCTTCTGCGAGCTGCCGGAAGAAAGCCTCATCCACCTCATCCCCCTGGTCCGGTGGTCTATAGCAGACTCCCACCACTACATCACTCCTGTTGCTCACACTTCTAAACTTAATCCAGAGACACTCAGGTTTTTCTGCAGTATCGTACCGGAGCTCTGAGCAGTCATACTGCTCCCTTACATACAGTGCTACTCCCCCACCTTTTCTGCCCTGCCTGTCCTTCCTGAACAGTTTATAACCATCCATGACAGTACTCCAGTCATGTGAGTTATCCCACCAAGTCTCTGTTATTCCAATCACGTCATAATTCCTTGACATCACCAGGACCTCCAGTTCTCCCTGCTTGTTTCCAAGGCTTTGTGCATTCGTATATAAGCACTTGAGATAAGCTGCTGATCGCCCCTCATTCTCACTATGAGGCAGGAGCCCTCCCCTCACAGACATTCCTGCCTGTGCTTCCTCCCGGTATCCCGCTTTCCCACTTACCTCAGGGCTTTGGTCTCCTTCCCCCGGTGAACCTAGTTTAAAGCCCTCCTCACTAGGTTAGCTAGCCTGCTCGCAAAGATGCTCTTCCCTCTCTTCGTAAGGTGGAGCCTGTCTCTGCCCAGCACTCCTCCTTCATGGAACACCATCCCATAGTCAAAGAATCCAAAGCCTTCTCTCCGACACCACCTGCGTAGCCATTCGTTGACTTCCACTATTCGGCGGTCCCTACCCAGGCCTTTTCCTTCCACGGGGAGGATGGACGAGAACACCACCTGCGCCTCAAACTCCTTTATCCTTCTTCCCAGAACCACGTAGTCTGCAGTGATCCGCTCAAGGTCATTCTTGGCAGTATCATTGGTGCCCACGTGGAGAAGCAGGAAGGGGTAGCGATCAGAGGGCTTGATGAGTCTCGGCAGTCTCTCCGTCACATCACGAATCTTAGCCCCCGGCAAGCAGCAGACTTCTCGGTTTTCCCGGTCAGGGCGGCAGATAGATGACTCAGTCCCCCGGAGGAGAGAGTCCCCGACCACCACCACCCGCCTCCTTCTCTTGGGAGTGGTGGTCGTGGAACCCCCCATCTCAGGACAGCGCATCTCATGCCTCCAACCAGCGGAGTCTCCTTCTGCTTTCTCCCCCCAGACGTATCATCTGGTCCACTCTCCGCAACGGTACCTGTGGAGAGAACATGAAAGCGGTAAATTATTGTATGATTCTTGATTCATTCATTTTAACACTCACAACAACAGCAAAGGCTCTGCAGGCACCCCAGCCGAGGCTGAATATATTTTAAAAATGACTTTGTGAAATAAAGGACACGTGCAAAATGCTTTTTGTGCCATGTACTGTACTGTGTACACACAGGAGAAATTGCTCAAATGCATGCTTTTTATTTTCTTTGTTTTGTTTGTAAACAATACAAGCAGTGTGCCTCACTCCCACAGATGTTAAGGGATGAGTTTGTCATATGTGCCTACATGACTTAGGAGCACAACTCCCATTTACTTTCAATGGGAGTTGTGCTCCTGAATCACTTTGATGCTATTGAAAAGTTCCACTCAAAGTTACTAAAAGAATGGAGTTCTATAGTATATCTATTTAGTAGATCAGCAAAGGATTATTGTGGTCCAGTGGATACAGAAGTGGACAAAAAGTCAGTAAACCCGGGATTCAGTTTTTGGCATTGCCACTGACTTGCTGTGTCACCTTGAGCAAGTCACTTCATCTGACTGTGTCTCAGTTTCTCTGTCTATAAAATGGGAACAACTCCTCTCCACTTTTTGTAAGGGACTTAGATCTAAGCATGAAAAGTGCTAAGTGGTTACTATAATTTTTCCTATAGACTGAAGGTTTCTGCCTAGCAATCTGTATAGTTTGTTAGCAGGGGAAGGAATGTAGCCCCCACATTAACAGTGCTAACTCTTTGCAAATAGTCAGCTACATTCTACATATAGCTGTGAAGATCACCATAAACTGTTACGTTCATCTGTGGTGGGATTTTCTGAATGAGAAAAGTTGGTCAAGGACACTAATGATATTTCTTTACTCTACTTGTGATCATTGTGTCTGTGGTTTGTGTTTTTAACAGTATACAGAAATAATACAGTATACGGACTACCAGCATTAATAAACCATCAGCACAAACTGATGAAGTAAAATTAAGAATAAATGTGGGTTGCCCCAGTTTACAACACATCACATAATATCTGTCTTTTGTTCTAAATAGATTTATATATGAAAATTCTTAATAGTTTAATTTGTATTTCACTAAGGATTTCAAGCAAGGAATGCCCTTCTGCAGTCAAACCTTTCTCAGACTCAGCTGGCTACCATTTGGTAAGTTTACTCACTTTACTGATTGATGAGAGGCTTACACAATTGTGGTAGGGAATGTAATCTGCTCTCTGCCATCAAGAAGTGTTAAAGGACAAGGTCCATTTAAAAATCATACACTATAAAACCCAGTAAACTTTATTTACCCATTTTGCTCATAATTTATTAAAACTGCACTGTTTTAAATGTCCAGTTTGCCATTTATTATTTATACTGGACTATGTAAATCAGCAAAGTCAGTTTTGCTTTCTGGTTCAATGCTTCATTGTTTGGATTGTAAACACTGAAGAGGAGGGTTTATTTGTTGAGAAACAACAGTTTCAGGTAAAAATAAGTTCTCATTAGAATGTCAAAACAAACAAACCCCAGAGATTTTTTCAAAACGTGTCAATTTAAATTTGAACCTAAATTTACATTAAAAAAAAGAACCATAAGTGTTCCTTCAGTCCATTAGTGGTTTGTGACAGTTGTACACATATAGTTGTACATTGCAGTTGATTAAAGCTTGTTGTTATGGTGGTGGAAACAATTACAATCTTCTGAAGACTTTGAACTCCTGTATGTTTTGGGCTGGATCTTGCCTTTCAACACAGCTGTGAGTAAGGGGTGATATATAAACTTCACCTTCTCGCAGGAGTCCACAGAAGCTTTGTGGATTAGATTAGCATTAGACAATCCACTGAAGCGTCCCTCTCTGCTTTTCTTTCGTCCAGGAGGTAGTCATTTGCCTCTGGCCTGCATCAGCAGCAAATTGTAGTATGCCTCACAGTTGTGTGGTGCATTATGGGGGTGCAGTGAAAGTGCTATTAGCCTCCTCTTTGGTGTGGAGAATTCAGAGCAGCTGTAGCCATGTAGCATCCAAGTAGGTCCTATTCGCAGGTACGCAGTCCATGTCACAATTTATCCCAAAGTCAGTAATTATCAATCTTTTATTTTAGTATTAAAGAGAGATTTCAGAGGAACAGCCGTGTTAGTCTGTATTCGCAAAAAGAAAAGGAGTACTTGTGGCACCTTAGAGACTAACCAATTTATTTGAGCATGAGCTTTCGTGAGCTACAGCTCACTTCATCAGATGTATACCGTGGAAACTGCAGCAGACTTTATATACACACAGAGAATATGAAACAATACCTCCTCCCACCCCACTGTCCTGCTGGTAATAGCTTATCTAAAGTGATCAACAGGTGGGCCATTTCCAGCACAAATCCAGGTTTTCTCACCCTCCACCCCCCCACACAAATTCACTCTCCTGCTGGTGATAGCCCATCCAAAGTGACAACTCTTTACATAATCAAGTCGGGCTATTTCCTGCATAGATCCAGGTTTTCTCACATCCCCCCACCCCCATACACACACAAACTCACTCTCCTGCTGGTAATAGCTCATCTAAACTGACCACTCTCCAAGTTTAAATCCAAGTTAAACCAGAACATCTGGGGGGGGGGGGGGTAGGAAAAAACAAGAGGAAACAGGCTACCTTGCATAATGACTTAGCCACTCCCAGTCTCTATTTAAGCCTAAATTAATAGTATCCAATTTGCAAATGAATTCCAATTCAGCAGTTTCTCGCTGGAGTCTGGATTTGAAGTTTTTTTGTTTTAAGATAGCGACCTTCATGTCTGTGATTGCGTGACCAGAGAGATTGAAGTGTTCTCCGACTGGTTTATGAATGTTAGAATTCTTGACATCTGATTTGTGTCCATTTATTCTTTTACGTAGAGACTGTCCAGTTTGACCAATGTACATGGCAGAGGGGCATTGCTGGCACATGATGGCATATATCACATTGGTGGATGTGCAGGTGAACGAGCCTCTGATAGTGTGGCTGATGTTATTAGGCCCTGTGATGGTGTCCCCTGAATAGATATGTGGGCACAATTGGCAACGGGCTTTGTTGCAAGGATAAGTTCCTGGGTTAGTGGTTCTGTTGTGTGGTATGTGGTTGTTGGTGAGTATTTGCTTCAGGTTGCGGGGCTGTCTGTAGGCAAGGACTGGCCTGTCTCCCAAGACTTGTGAGAGTGTTGGGTCATCCTTTAGGATAGGTTGTAGATCCTTAATAATGCGTTGGAGGGGTTTTAGTTGGGGGCTGAAGGTGACCGCTAGTGGCGTTCTGTTATTTTCTTTGTTAGGCCTGTCCTGTAGTAGGTAACTTCTGGGAACTCTTCTGGCTCTATCAATCTGTTTCTTTACTTCTGCAGGTGGGTATTGTAGTTGTAAGAAAGCTTGACAGAGATCTTGTAGGTGTTTGTCTCTGTCTGAGGGGTTGGAGCAAATGCGGTTGTATCGCAGAGCTTAGCTGTAGACGATGGATCGTGTGGTGTGGTCAGGGTGAAAGCTGGAGGCATGCAGGTAGGAATAGCGGTCAGTAGGTTTCCGGTATAGGGTGGTGTTTATGTTTCACAGACATGAAGGTCGCTATCTTAAAACAAAAAAACTTCAAATCCAGACTCCAGCGAGAAACTGCTGAATTGGAATTCATTTGCAAATTGGATACTATTAATTTAGGCTTAAATAGAGACTGGGAGTGGCTAAGTCATTATGCAAGGTAGCCTGTTTCCTCTTGTTTTTTCCTACCCCTCCCCCAGATGTTCTGGTTTAACTTGGATTTAAACTTGGAGAGTGGTCAGTTTAGATGAGCTATTACCAGGAGGAGAGTGAGTTTGTGTGTGTATGGGGGTGGGGGGGATGTGAGAAAACCTGGATCTATGCAGGAAATAGCCCGACTTGATTATGTAAAGAGTTGTCACTTTGGATGGGCTATCACCAGCAGGAGAGTGAATTTGTGTGGGGGGGTGGAGGGTGAGAAAACCTGGATTTGTGCTGGAAATGGCCCACCTGTTGATCACTTTAGATAAGCTATTACCAGCAGGACAGTGGGGTGGGAGGAGGTATTGTTTCATATTCTCTGTGTGTATATAAAGTCTGCTGCAGTTTCCACGGTATACATCTGATGAAGTGAGCTGTAGCTCACGAAAGCTCATGCTCAAATAAATTGGTTAGTCTCTAAGGTGCCACAAGTACTCCTTTTCTTTTATTAAAGAGAGAGTCATTTTTAACATCGCCCATAGGTGGAGCTGGTCAGTAAATAGAAGAAAAATCACCTTTTTATCAACTTTGTTTCTGATTTTTGTTGGATTCCCCCCCATTAACGCTTTGTGGCCAGCTCTGCAGGACTGTTTCTGCCTGCCCCATCACACTCTTCTTTAAGGAAGTCTCGTTGCCTGCATCTCTGTGGACAGCCACATGTTCCTTTCCTTCACTCTTCAGCAATGTTTCATGTAGGAGTATGGCAGTGATACTAGTGTATATGCTGCCTACCCATTAAAGCAGGATGATGGGGATTGGGAGTATTTGATTCTGCACCTGCCAGCTGCAGGGAGCTCTGAAGCAGCTCACCTTTGCCCCACAGCATTATCAGCTGAACTGTCTGGTGTTGAGAAAGAATCCTAGGCTAGGGGTCACAAGGGAGGAAGGAGCCCTGTATGAAGATCCCTTTTGTAGTATCAGGGCATACATTTAGATAATGCTTTATATCCTGAGAAAAGAACTGAGGCAGAGTAAAATGGGTGTTGTGATCTTGAAAGTGGCTTGAGCATGGAACAGGGTTTTGTTTCCAGTTCTGCTGTTCGCTTCTCATGTTACCTTGGGCAAGGCACTTTAGCCTTTCTCATCCTCGTTTTCCCCACTTACTTACATACTGCATAGTGATGTTGACCTAATTAACGTTTGCGAAGTGCCTTTGCAATCATTTGACAAAATATGCTGTATAAAAGCCAATTCTTATTTAAACTGTAAAATAAAATAAACTTTTCTTTCATCCACTATTGTTTTTACTAAGATGAGGGATTGTTTACCAGTTCACCCTACAAGGTCTACGCCTTAAGAAATTGTTCTATAATAACTCATTTCAGTTATCCCTTCCAAGTGATTTTCAGTTGCACTGACAACAACATTCTCCCATTTTATGTAGGTCACTATCTGACGTTGATGGAGATGGACAGTTGAAAGCTGATGAGTTTGTGTTAGCCATGCATCTAACTGATATGGCCAAAGCTGGGCAGCCTCTGCCATTGACCCTGCCTCCTGAATTGGTACCTCCTCCTTTCAGGTAAAGTGCTCAGGACAGGGAGACATGACCTAAATCCAGAGGTAATATAAAGAATACTGAATAGCCTGAATTTAACTCCCCCCAAAATAACTTCTCTCCTAGAAGTGGAAAATATGCTGAAAATGTTAATGGAACTCTGCCATCTTGCCAGCGAATGCAAGAAGAGGAGCCCCAGAAAAAACAGCCAGGTAAGAATGAGATTTTCAGTTTTGTGTTAGTGTATTACACTTTTCATTGAAGAATATTGCATCTTTTAGAAACTAAAAAGGGGGTAAGGAAGTACAGCATTACTATTTCAGGAGCTGTACTCCTGTTACCTTGGACAGAGGGAAGGTTGTCTTGATGCTGTCATTTAAGGGCAGTTAAGAAAACATCATGAATGTAAGGGTGAGGGGCTGTTTTTCAGGTGTAGGACGTATCAGTGACATTATTATTAATGAATGTCTTGGAAAGCTTCATGGTTGAAACGTTGGAACACCACTATGAAATTCCATGTAATTGAAAGTTACTGGTGCTTGCCTTTTCTCCATAGTAGTGCAGGATTTTGAACCTGAGGTAGCTTGATCTTGTCACAGTATCTGCAAGCAACTTGTAGCTTACCGTGGCCCATAGTATCAGACTCTGTTGTCTGACTGCTGCTGCCAGAATGGAGTAATAGAGGCTCCCTCTTAGTGGCCGAGTATGGGCAAGGCTTATTTCATTTTGGGAAGGTAATCCCAGAGGCCCCTAAACTATTCCCCCTACGCTTTTTTTTAAAAAAATTCCATGTTGCAGTTATTGACCCTGATGATGGTTGGTTTGCTGCTGTTTTAACAGTTTGGGTCTAAGAAAAATTAAAGGTAACCCGCCTTTTGAAAAACCCCTTATTTGTGCTGACATATGTGCTGTACAGTGAAGAACGGTTTAAAAAGATGAGCTGTGTAACTCTTCCATTTTCCTATCCAGTGTCAGTGTCCAAGAAAACAACCCTCCATTAGCTTGTAAAAATTTGTTTTTGTCCTGGACAGATAGAATCATTTTATGTCTATTAATGTTAAATTGTATTCTGCTTTAAACCACCAATCCTACCTAGCCACTGTTTTTTGTGGGAGGTCAAAAAGTTTTACCACAGAACATTTCTTCTTGATGTCAGAAGTAATGAAATTTTGCTGTTGTGCCAAGCTGTGAAAATGATAAGAATGTCAGTGTTTGTGAAAAGAGGATAGATACTTAAAACTTCTTGATTTAAGGTGCTTAAATTATCCATGGTGCGATGTTTTGAGCTAGCCAATAAGAAAACATGGTAGGCATTAGCAGTGTAAGAGAGGAACTGCTTTGAACCATTGTTCTGTGTAAAACAGTGCTAACTTCTGTGCCTTATTTTAGTTACATTTGAGGACAAGAGAAAAGCAAACTATGAGAAAGGAAACGTGGAACTGGAGAAAAGGCGTCAAGTCCTACTGGAGCAGCAGCAGAGAGAGGCGGAACGTAAGGCTCAGAAAGAAAGAGAAGAACAAGAGCGAAGAGAGAGGGAGCTGCAGGAGCAGGAGCGGAAAAAGCAGCTTGAACTGGAAAGGCAGTTGGAGAAACAACGAGAGCTGGAAAGACAAAGGGAGGAAGAGAGGAGAAAAGAAATAGAACGGCGGGAGGTTGTTTCCTTAATTTTATTTATTTTAATCCTTAAAGTAGTACGCACCCACACTCAGTGAACACAGTTGGTAAAGTTATTCCCTTGTCCATTTGGGAACTTGTAATTTTTATGTGCCTTTGAACTTGCGTTACCTCTAGACAAGCAGTCTTGGTCTAGTAGTTTGAGCATAGGACTGGGAGCCAGGCATTCATTGAAACTTGGCTTGGGCATGCACTCCTTGTGTGACTATTGCAAGTCATTTTGGAGGGACACTATCATTTTTGTCTGAAATGTTGTGCCTACTATTGTTACAAATAACCCCTAAAGTGGATAAAACTCAGGTTCTCAAGACTCTTTCGTATTCTGGGCCACGTTTTCTTTTACAGTTCTCTTTTTAAACAAAAAAAAACCCAACAACTGTAACCCAAAACTCGACTGAAGCTTGAAACTGACATTATTTTACTTTCTATCCTATAACAAATCTGGGTTTACTTGGTTTGTCCACGATCACATTTAAAATTGCATCCACTCTGTGACCAATCATGCTAAGGGCCTTCTGAGTCATTATTAGTTCCCGGCACTGTTCTCAGTTAGAGGCAAGACTATTAGAGTGAAACCAAATTCGTATCTGAATTATACATTACGTTATACCCAATTATCTTTCTCCACAGTTGATTTTTCTGGCAGTTTCCCTTCCAGTGGGAGTTGAGATGTTCAGAACCATGTAGGATAAGATCTTCCATTCTTGTGATCATATATGATATTTGAAATATATAAGATTGTGCTTTAAGAGCAGAATTCTTATATGTTTTACTGCTGTGCTACTCACAAGTAGAACAGAATGGCAGATTACTTTGCACAAGAGTGTAAGCAAACCTGAACGTGCAAGGTCTAGGTCTAATTTAAGAACTGCCAGCCTTTGTAGTGTCCCCTTTAATGATATCATTTAGGATTCAAGGTGTTTTTATGTGGATTTTGTTCATTAAAAGACAAACTATATAGATATTGCTAAGTATGAAAATACATATATAGCTTTCATTTGTCTGTACATTAAACACTCCAGTTTGTTAAACTGGAAATATTTAATTTTAGCTTAATTTAGCTACAGAATGTATGTGTAGATATCAACACTGTAAAACTTCTAGTTTGCTTTAGAGTTTCTAAAGGGTATCGTAAGCTTACAGTGATGTAACTTGTTATCTGCAGGCAGCAAAGCAGGAACTTGAGCGCCAGCGACGGCTGGAATGGGAGAGAATTCGACGCCAAGATCTTCTTAATCAGAGAAACAGGGAGCAAGAAGAAATTGTCAAGTTGACCTCTAAAAAGAAGAGCCTTAATCTTGAATTAGAAGCCCTGGTGAGGCACAGGTGATATTAAATATATTTGAGTGATATACAGAATTTTAAAATTGTACAAGAATCTTAAAATGCACATTAAAGTGCTAAGTACAACTTTTTCTTGATCAGGAAATTAACTTAGTATTGGCTCAGCAATCAAAGCAGGATTTTTTCTAAGAATTGTTCTTAAGGTACCTTTAGGCAGAAATGATCTTTTCAGAGAAGTTTGATAGAGAAACTTTTTTTGTTGTTTTGTTTTTTTTTTACAACATGTGGTTTCTGTAGAGTGGCAAACATCAGCAGATCACAGGCAGACTGCAAGACGTGCAAAGCAGAAAACAAATTCAGAAAAGTGAGCTGGAAGCTCTAGATAAAAAATGTGATTTGGGAATTGTAGAAATCAAACAGCTACAACAACAACTTCAGGTATGTGATTTCCTGTTAAACCTACCGATCTCTTTCACTTCCCTTTAACAGTTGTGGTGGCATCAGTAGTGTGTGCTTATAGGAAAGATTTGTGCAATAGCATCAAGGGATTGAATGGTTAGGATGCAGAAAAGAAGACTAAGTAGAAATGGCCAGTGAATGTGGTTCCACAATGCCTACTAAAATTATTTATAGCATTAGGGAAACCAATACGTACATTCATGATCATTGATATTAATTTTACAAGGCTAGAAGTGAGGTTTTGACCGTAATTTCAGTAGCATGTGCTAGTTTACCAGTGATTATATAGGAAGATATTTTGTGGGGTTCAATAAGATTCCTACCTGGTTTCTACCTCTTCATCTACATTTGATATTTCTAAAAAGTAGTAAAACTCCCACAGGTGTTTTCTTGCTCTCACCTTTTCAGTGAAGGTACTAGACCTGTGCAGCGCTCTGTCTACAATATCTCAGATGTTTTCAGATCACTAAATTAAGCAACATGATGGAACATGTATGGAAGATGCAAGAGCTGATGTTCATCAAGTCATTCCAACAATTAATTGATGGAATTCAAAAATCAACTCTATTTTTCATTGATTCATAAAAATTTGGCGGTGAGGGGGGATGTTAATTTTAAAATCCTAGGGTTTGACTATTAATGTGAAAAATTGTAAAACTGCTTTTGCATTATTTGATCTCACTTTTTAAAAAAAGATTTAAGCTTACCTGTTCCAAAACCACACAGTTGCAGTTAGTAATAATTGATATTTCTTCGTTGTGTATTGATCCTTCTCTTGTCTACACATGGGGTTAGCACTGGTGCAACTACACTGATTTCTAGCAATTGACTATTGGGGCAAATCCCTTGCAAGGTGCTAAAATTGATGAATGATTTCAAGTATTAGAAATTTCATATGCTAAAGTAAAGCACACGGCATAATAACTTGTTTTTGTTTTATTTATCAGAAACTGAAACCTATTAGTTGATGGCTAGTTTCAAAGAATGCTTGGATTTCTTTGGAAATTCACATTGTACCATAATACACAAATGTTATGCTAATATGCTTTACATTTGTTATTTAAACTCTTTTAAATTTATGTGTTGAAGAATACTTAGTTTTTATATATATATGGTGATCACAGAATCGTAAGTTTTTTCCCTATTATGGGAAAAAATTGTACCAATGCATTATCATACAGTTTACTTACTTTATGTTATATTAAAAAATTGTTTGTTTGTGGTTGGTGCCATATAAACAGATATTAACCTTTCTTAAAAATACATTGCATCTCTTTCTTATATATCTGTAGGAATATCAGAATAAACTAGTCCATTTAATTCCTGAAAAGCAGTTATTAAATGAGAGAATAAAACACATGCAGCTGGACAACACTCCTAGTAAGTGTCTTCAGATAAACTCTTTGCTCTGTATAGTAGCTTTTCTTTACTCACTGGGAAAGCTACTGTCTGTCGTTATTAACCATTCCTTCATAGTTACCATAGATTCAGCAAGTCCCAACAAATATTCAGAACTGTTTGTTGTCCCTACTTTCTACCATTTCCTATATCTAACAAATGTGGGGAGAAATATGTTTTGATAAGAAAAGAAGTCTACAACTTTAAACATAGACAATACAGACTATAGTACAGGGAGGAATTGTGGTCCTTGCTGCCCAGATTTTCCTTTTGCTTACAGTCATGTAAAATCAGGAGTAACTCCATTTAAATCAAAGGAATTTATGGAAGTTTTACACTACTGTTAAGTGAGTGGCAAATGAGGGCCAAAGTGTCTGCCCTCAGGAGTTGCATCTAATCAGACTAATACAATATGAAGAGGAGATGTCATACAAACTTTATTATATGAGTTATGGTAGTGCCTGTATGCCTCAATCAAGGATCAAGGCCCAATTGTGCTAGAAGCTGTATGAGAATGTACCACAAGAAGTGGTATAAGCAATTCGTTTCTGAAGTGGGAGTGAATGTAAATTAAAAAAAGTGGTTATTGAAAAGTATGGTAATACAAATAGAAATCATTGTAAAAGTACATGATCTTTCCTATGCAGATACAGGAATCAGTTCAGTGAACAAGAAATTCCTAGAAAAGGAAGAATTATGCCAAAGACTTCGGGAGCAATTAAATGCCCTAGAAAAGGAAACTGCTTCCAAACTCTCTGAAATGGATACATTTAACAATCAGCTCAAGGTACATGCATTCTGCAAATATATTGTCTTTAGTAATAAGCCATGTTTTCCTCCTCATCCAGTCACCAAACTTTTATTTGCTGTCCCCCTATGCCATGTCTTTTCTGAAAGTCTGTGCCTATTTTATAATATCAAAATAAGCATTGCCAAACATCTTCTAGCAAATGTGCAATTAGAAACTAATTCAAAACTGTCAAATGTATAATTAGATGTTAACACCCCCTCTCCCTTGCTTACCACTCCTCTGCGTTCATCATGTTACAATGCCTTTCAAAGGCACTCTCATAGTTCACTCTTACTCAACATAGGCCCTAAAATACATAAAAGTAAATGAGAGTTGAGGGCAGTGTTCCTTCTAATTTTTCCCATGCATTGCGTAATTAATTTTGTTTTGGCACAAGTATGGAGGTGATGTGTGACTGGCTGGGAGTGTGGGCTCTATGGAGGGGCTCAGGGCTGAGGCAGAGTGTTGGGGTGTGTGTGGGGGGGAGGACTCCGGCTGGGGGTGTGGGCTCTGGAGTGGGGCTGGGGATGAAGGGTTTGGGGTGCAGGATGCTCCGGGCTATGGCAGGGAGAGAGAACTCCCCCCAGCTCACTCTCTCCATAGCAGCACGTGGGCTGGGTGGGAGAGGCGCCTCTCCCTGCCGCGGCAGCTCCAGGGCTGGGCTGGGTTGGGGCCAACTGTGGGGCACCTCTCTCCCAGCCACGGCAGGTCCAAGACGGGTTTGGTTGGGTCCGAGGGAGGGGTGCCCCTCCCCCGGCCATGGCAGGTCTGTCCGCAGTCTAGGCTGCTAGTGGTCCACAGCTTCTGGCTCGAAGCGGCAGACTGTCCGTCACTGGTGGCCCGGAGGAGCAGCAGCAGCTGTGGGCTCCTTTCCACTCATCCCATCCCACCCTCCCCCATCTTCCCCATCACTGGCAGGCAGCCGGTGGCTGCTGCCTGTGGGTGATGGAGGGCAGGGGCAGAGAGAAGAGCCCTCTACCAGATGGCTGAGAGGAGCGAGTAGGCAGGAGGGATTGGGGGGTGGGGAGGGGGCGAGGAGAAGCCCTGGGCTGGCGGGCCTAGAGGAGCACGGGGAAGGGGCTGGAGAGGAGAAGAGCCAGCGCTGCTGCTGTTGGACTGCAGCACAAATGAAGTGGAGCACCGGGCTGGGCCGGTGGGGTCCCTGCTGAGGGTGGGCCTGCCGCCATAATAAACCCAGTACTGGCCTGGATGGGTTGGGGCCGGGGGAGGTGTGCCTCTCCCCGCCAGAGCCCTGAGTGGAACTCTGGGGAACTTAGAGGGAACTTGGGTTGAGGTTGCTGAGCGCCTGCAGGTTCTGTCGCTATGGCAGTAAGGTTGTATGGCTACCATTTTGCAGATTGTAAATGGAGTATCCTAATTGTTTAATTTGTATTGGAAGAAAATACTAATCTGCCAGCACAGCACATGGGATATTCACTTTTGGCAATAGACATGGATGCTTATATTCCTTTAACTAGGAGACAGAATGTGCAGAGGATAATTGAAGGAGGCTGTGTGGTTTATATATTGTCAGTTTATCAGACAGATGCATGCAACTTTCTGACAAGGGTGTTGTCACTGTGCTCTGTTTGCTGGCTTATTCATGGTGGCATTGATGTGAATTTTAGAATAAATTGTATGATTTCCCTTCTGGCTAAAGGAATAAATTGTATGATTTCCCTTCTGGCTAAAGGAAGGACCACATTGCATCTGTTGAAGAGAGCTTAAGGGAAAAAACTCTCAGAATATTTCTTTTTTAATAAAGAAAACATCACCCACAATATTCGTGCTTGCATTTGGAATCACATGTGTGCTGCATAGCTTGCTGGTTAGTGAGAGCAATTCAGTTATGTTCAGTGACTGCATCAACAATGTAGTCTTCCCTACAATATATTTTTTTAAATCGTTACAAAGTTTAATTGGCTTTTTATCTGCCTTATCTTGCAGTGTGAGAATATGGATGATTCTGTTCTTCAGTGCCTTTTGTCTCTGCTAAGCTGTCTCAACAACCTCTTCCTCTTACTTAAGGTTATTTTCTAATCTTTGGCTCTTTTGCTTTTAATTATTTCATGGTTTTTCTCTGTTTTCCCTTTCTTTTTGGATATATTATCTCTTTAGAACTCAACTGAAAATCTTTGTTTAAAACTAAAACTTTTCAAAAACAGAATGAATATTCTTTTCTTTTCTGCTTGCTTTTAAATCCTTCTGCTATCCTAACAGCTTAAACTTACTTGCTTATAAAGCAAAGCCAGAAAATACTGATGTGTATCTTGTTTGTTAATGGACTGATACATTAACAAAAAGAAGAGGAGTACTTGTGCACCTTAGAGACTAACCAATTTATTTGAGCATGAGCTTTTGTGAGCTACAGCTCACTTCATCGGATGCATACCGTGGAAACTGCAGAAGACATTATATACACAGAGACCATGAAACAATACCTCCTCCCACCCCACTCTCCTGCTGGTAATAGCTTATCTAAAGTGATCATCAAGTTGAGCCATTACCAGCACAAATCCAGGTTTTCTCACCCTCTGCCCCCCCCCCCCCCCCCCACACACACACAAACTCACTCTCCTGCTGGTAATAGCCCATCAACCACATACCACACAACAGAACCACTAACCCAGGAACCTATCCTTGCAACAAAGCCTGTTGCCAACTGTGCCCACATATCTATTCAGGGGACACCATCAAAGGGCCTAATAACATCAGCCACACTATCAGAGGCTCGTTCACCTGCACATCCACCAATGTGATATATGCCATCATGTGCCAGCAATGCCCCTCTGCCATGTACATTGGTCAAACTGGACAATCTCTACGTAAAAGAATAAATGGACATAAATCAGATGTCAAGAATTATAACATTCATAAACCAGTCGGAGAACACTTCAGTCTCTCTGGTCACGCAATCACAGACATGAAGATCACCATCTTACAACAAAAAAACTTCAAATCCAGACTCCAGCGAGAAACTGCTGAATTGGAATTCATTTGCAAATTGGATACTATTAATTTAGGCTTAAATAGAGACTGGGAGTGGCTAAGTCATTATGCAAGGTAGCCTATTTCCCCTTGTTTTTTTCCCTCCCCCCCCCCCCCCCGACATTCTGGTTAAACTTGGATTTGTGCTGGAAATGGCCCACCTTGATTATCATGCACATTGTAAGGAGAGTGGTCACTTTGGATAAGCTATTACCAGCAGGAGAGTGAGTTTTTGTGTGTATGGGGGTGGGGGGGTGAGAAAACCTGGATTTGTGCTGGAAATGGCCCACCTTGATTATTATGCACATTGTAGGGAGAGTGGTCGCTTTGGATAAGCTATTACCAGCAGGAGAGTGAGTTTTTGTGTGTGTGTTTTTTTTAAAAAAAAGGGGGGGTGGGGAGGGAGAGAAAACCTGTATTTGTGCTGGAAATGGCCCACCTTGATTTTCATACACATTGTGAGGAGAGTGGTCACTTTGGATAAGCTATTACCAGCAGGAGAGTGAGTTTGTGTGTGTGGTTTTTGGAGGGGGCTGGGGGGGTGAGAAAACCTGGATTTCTGCTGGAAATGGCCCACCTTGATTATCGTACACATTTTAAAGAGAATGGTCACTTTGGATGGGCTGTTACCAGCAGGAGAGTGAGTTTGTGTGTGTGGTTTGGGGGGGGCAGAGGGTGAGAAAACCTGGATTTCTGCTGGAAATGGCTCAACTTGATGATCACTTTAGATAAGCTATTACCAGCAGGAGAGTGGGGTGGGAGAGGGTATTGTTTCATGGTCTCTGTGTATATAATGTCTTCTGCAGTTTCCACAGTATGCATCCGATGAAGTGAGCTGTAGCTCACGAAAGCTCATGCTCAAATAAATTGGTTAGTCTCTAAGGTGCCACAAGTACTCCTTTTCTTTTTGCGAATACAGACTAACACGGCTGTTACTCTGAAACCTGATACATTAACAGATTCAATTAGCTTTATTACCTAGGTACTGCTTTTTCTTTTCAGGTAAGGTAATATCCACCAAAAAATTATCTTCCCATTTTGATAGAAACACTTACAGTTTCTTTGTGTTCATTTCCCCCCCAACACACTCACTCACTCTCTCTCACACACACACACACACACACACCTGCCCTCCTCCCCCACACACACTCACTCACCTACACACACACACACCTGTCAGCTATGAGTCAATTCCGTGATTTATTTGGTCTGGGTTCAGAAGAGTCCTGAAATTGCATCAGTGCCTGGGTTAACTAGGGTAGCCAACTTTCTGATTGCAGAAAAACGAACACTCCTACCCTGCCCCGCCCCTTCTCTGAGGTCCCGCCCCGCTCACTCCATCCCCTCTTCCCTGCCTTGCTCACTCTTCCCCACCCTCATCCATTTTCACCAGGCTAGGGTGGGGAGGGGGAGGACTCTGGCTGGTGGTGCAGGCCCTGGGGTGGGGTTGGGGATGAGGGATTTGGGGTGTGGGAGGGGTCTCAGGGCTGGGGCTGGGGGTTGGAGTGCAGGGCGGATGAGGGCTCCGGCTGGGGATGAGGGATCTGGTGTGGGACCAGGAATGAGGGGTTTGGGGTGCAAGAGGCGGCTCTGGGCTGGGGCCGAGGAGTATGGAGTGCAGGAGGGGGCTCACGGCTGGGCCAGGGAGTTGGAGTGCAGGCTCTGGGAGGGAGTTTGGATGCAAGGTGGGGGGTTCAGAGCACAGGCAGGGGATTGGGGTGCAGGAGAGGGTGAGGGCTTCAGATGGGGGTGCAGGCTCTGGGCTGGCACTGGGAATGGGGTGTTTGGGGTGCAGGAGAGGGCTCTGGGCTGGGGCAGGAGGTTGGGGTATGGGAGGGGTTGTGGGCTCTGGGAGGGAGTTTAGGTGTGGAAGGGGTCTCAGGGCTGGGGCAGGGGGTTGGAGCGTGGGAAGGGACTTGGGGTGCAGGCTCCTGCTGGATGGTGCTTACCTCAGGTGGCTCCCAGAAGCGACCAGCATGTCCACCTCCTAGGCAGAGAGGCCAGGGGGCTCTGCACACTGCCCACGCCTGCAGGCACCACTCCTGCAGCTCCCATTGGCTGTGGTTCCCAGCCAATGGGAGCTGCAGAGTCAGCGCTCAGGGTAGGGGCAGCGTGCAGAGTCTCCCTGATTGCCCCTATGCCTAGGGGCCACAGGGACATGCCAGCCGCTTCTGGGAGCTGCGTGGAGCCAGGGCAGGCCTGTTATCCAAAGCTTCATACCAATTATTTCAGCCTTTGGTTTGAGCGTAGATAGAGGAAATGCTGTGGTCTGAACTTTACTTTGCACATGACTATGTCTTAGTTATTGGATTGATTTGTTATTTTTTAAAAAATTTCTTTGAATCATAATTATAGAAAAGATTATATATTTCACCCATAATTAACAAATTTTTATATGTATTTTTCTTCTTTTTGTAGCGACCTTCTGTTAGATTAAGCAGTGGCTAATAAAGGAAATACTAAAACATAGTGAAGGGAAGCCTCCATCTTAAAGGATGTATACCCAAAATTTCCAGTACTGTTTTGTGTTACTTGTAGTTTAAAGGCTATCTCCACCAGGCAACTGTTTAGAGATCATTTGTGTACTTCTAGTCCTTAGATGACCCAGTGTTTAAGTACTTAATTTAAAATTCCCACTCTTTTTCCCTCCATCGTATTTGCAGTCTCCAGCAGAGGAATGACTAAACGATGCACTTTGCAAGTATAAACTGCACAAGAGTTTGCAAAAGATCTGCCAGATATTTTTATATGCTCCTGTTTAACTCTTTCTTTCGAATGAGAGTCAACATCCATTATTAACTTTAAGATTGTCCTATCCATTTGTGTTGGATCACAAAGCATTAAAATGCCTAGTTACTTTCCTAGAAAAATGGATTTGCTTGTCAGTCCTTTGATATACTTCATTGTGTTTCCTCATTAGGAACTGAGAGAAAGCTACAACACACAGCACTTAGCCCTTGAGCAACTTCACAGGATCAAACAAGAGAAAATAAGAGCTGTAGAAAGAAAAAGAGCTGAGCTTGCACAAAAAAAGCGACTGGAGGATGAGGCTGCAAGGTAACATGGTTGAAAATCATAAAACACTGATACTGTAGTTTTTAAAACAGGATATTGCATTGGTGAGCTTCAGATGTTGATACCAGTAGACATAAAATCTAACTGATTAAAATATACATCCTAACTAAGAGAGCAACACTACATGAACTAAGCCTTCTGAATTTTTACATGGAATACAAGGATTTCTGAAGTTCTGAATTTCCTTCCCCTTAGTATGTAGGAACGAGTCTGTTACCCTTTTTAATACGACAAATCTATTTGATGAAAGTGTTGTTCTCAAAGATTGATGTGTCAACCTGAGAATCCATTTTTGTAATTGGGCTTTTTAATCTCTTCTCCAGTACACAGCTTCCATGCATTTAAGATTACTTATTCACATTTTCTACCTTGTTTTGCTGTCATTGTACATCTTCTCCCTCCACTTAAAAAGCGCTTCCTACTAAATGAACAAATGTAGTTTAGTTGCCAGTCATTCATACTCTGACAGTGTGATATTCTTAGTCCCTGAATATTTATGGAAATTGGACGAACATTGTGACTGCCTAATTTCGATATGATGATCTTGAAAACCAGTTGAATGTCCGCAAGTTACTAGTTTTAAGGGTAAGAGACTAAATTAATCCTTAGTTTCCTCTTTGCATTTCAATCCCTGATCTTATATTGGTTTCTTGCCTGATGAGCGAGAAAACGTTCACATTTACCTATATGGAAAGGGATCCTTCCTTTTGTCCGTAAATGATCTTACGTTATTATGCTCCTACGTTATTTTGTATCGGCTCTTTCCAGATTCTGTTGTCAACTTTCCCCTACCACCTGCCTGATCGGTCCAGGGCTCTCAAGTGGCATTGCTGGCCAAAAAGTTTTTTCAGTTATCTGGTTAGCTGGCTGCACTCACGTCACTCTGATCTGCATCTTGCTACGGTCACGTTATGCCTTTATGATGTTCACACTGCATTACGATAATGAGCTCTATGTGAGGCTACAGCTGGTGCAAAATGTGTCTGCCCATCTGTTCAGAGGCTTTGATGTAGGGGGAGCATATTCATACCAAATACTCTTCTCATTTACACTGGGGTTATGCTGGTATAACAGTTGTCAGTGAAGTTATTGGGAATTTATACTCGTGTAAATGAGACTAGAATGAGGCCAGTTACGACTGTTTCCCAGGAACTGCATTGGCTTCCTGTTTACTACAATTTAAGGTTTGGGCTTTGGCACCAGATTTTCAAAAGAGCTGAGGCACTGAGTGCATGTAAAAATTTCACTCTCTCATTTAGCTACCTAAATGGGACCTGAGATCTTCTGAAAATCTGGCCTCAATTGTGAGTGCTAAGCACTTTTGATAATCTAACCCTGTATTAGTACAGCCCTATGTAGTTTAGTTACTGATTAACTGACAGATTGCTGATACCCTTCATTTCCTTCATGTATCATTGGAGCTAAGTTATTGGCTGAGACACTTCAAGATAATAGTCCCTGATTTAAATGGAGATATGACTGAGCCAAACCTGGCCATTTTCAGAGAATACTGCCAGATTCTCAGATACTACACTGAAGACTGTGGAGTGAGGAGAATATAAATGCTGCAATAAATTCCCACAATAACTGAAGACCAGGAATTACAACAAAAAAAAGTAATAAGTAAAATTCGCCAAACCAGATATTGGTAAAGACCAAAATCTTTTATGGCCATCTCTGAACAACTTTTCATTTTTCATATGTGGGATTTGGATATTGAAATGATGGGCACCCGAGAAATACCATAGATAGATTAATGCTCCATTTTCTGCTCTGCCCTGGCACATCAAGGTGAATAGCATTGATCATGGAGGCACTGCCGAAGAAGCTCTCAGGCGTGAAAGGCCAAGGAACAATGTTTTCAGACCATAAGTCTGTCTTATTTGTATTTTATTAGTGCCTAAGATGTGCTGGATTGTGTGCGCGTGTGAGAAGACATGGTACCTATCCCAAGAGTTTTTGGTCTGCAGTAAGGGGGTAACAGAAACGGAAGAGGAAACAAACAGGATGGAGAGATCCTGCTGTGGATGACGGCAGTTGGCATAGGGAGATTGGGGAACAGAGAGCAAAAGAGAATGCTAGAAGAGGAGAAAGAAGAGGATAGTGCTGAGGCTGATTAAATAAATTTTTTGTCACATGCTAATGACAGCAAACGAATACCCCAGCACCATCCCAAACCATTGTCTCTGAAGTGCTAAAGGTGCAGGCACTTCGAAGGATTTTTGGCATTTGTTTTTAGACACACGTGACATGTGGCTGTTGAACAGAAGGAGATTGCTATGTCAAGTGTCAGTTCTTCTCTGCACTCTAGGTTTGGGGACCAAGCAGGGATCTGCGCTCTCTCTCCTTTCGAAGTGGGGATCTTGAATTCATCGACATATTGTTGTTATGGTTAGTCAACCAGCATTTCTTCACTGTACTCTAGAAGAGTGTGGAGGGGGCAGTACTTTACATTTAGGGCCACCTGTGTAAATTCTAGCCCTGGCTCTGCCACCCGAGCCTTGCATGTGACTGCAGTGACTCCCAGGTCACTAACTGTGGTTAATCCTATAAACACTTTCTCACTTATTTATTTATGTATTTATTTTTCCCTTTTCGTTAAGGAAAGCAAAACAGGAGAAGGAGAACTTATGGCAGGAAAATGTCCGAAAGGAAGAGGAGGAGAAAAAAAAGCGATTACAGGAAGAGCGAATGCAGGAAAAAATTCATGAAGAAAAACAAAAAGCTGAGGAGGCAGCTGCCCAGGTGAGAGAGAGGGAGTTCCAGTTGCAAAAACTGGCTGAGGAGAAACATGCGGAGGAGAGGAACAAGCTAGCTGAGATTCAGAGAGAAACGGAAAAACAAAGGCAGAGACAACTGGAAGAAGACAAAAGGAAGCAAGAACAGATTGCAAAAGAAGCTGAGGAGAGGCGTAAACAGCATGAAGAAGAGAAGAGAAGAAAAGATACAGCCAACCTGCAAGAGTCAGAGAAACACACTTCAAAATTAAACTTAAATGAGAAATTTGCAGACTTGTTGAAACAGACTGAGGGTAGAAATCTTAAGCCTATGTGGAGAAGTGAAGGTAAACTTCATCTATTGATTTATTTTTTGTTTAAAATGTTCCTTGTCTTGAATGAATATTGTTACTTCATATTTAGACATTTTATTGTGGAATAATGACAATATTATAGGTCTTGTGTTTAAAAATTGATGTTGGAGACCATGGACCATATCCACAGTTGGAGTAAAGCTGTTGATGTCAGTTGAGCTATAACAGTTTACACCAGCAGAGGATCTGACCACAGATCTTTCAGTGCTTTCAGTTAAGAATCCTGGACACTCGGAGCAGTGACATTTTGGCTTTCCTGCACTTTTTCTATGCAACAGAATACTCACCACATGTTGTGGCATGAGATGTTCATAATTTCTTTTAAAACAATTTTTGATAGTCAGTGAACAGATAAGAATCAAGTAATGAGAATGCGTACAGCCTTAAAGTAACATTGATTCATTGATTAACACTGATAGAGAAATTATAGGTATCAGAACCTCGGTTACTAGATGGTGGTCAAAACTGAGGTCAGCATGGCGTTATGGGTAGGATTTTGAAAAATGCTTAGTGTTAGCCTAATTCTGCTCCCATTGAACTTGATGGTAGTTTTACTATTGACTTAGTGGAAGCAGAATTACAGAATGCTTTTTTTTTTTTTTTTTGCTCATTGTTAACCATTGTTATGGCTGTAGTGTGGCTGGTTTAGTAGTATTACTTATCGACTTAGAGAAATTTAGAGACTGAGACTATATCAAATACAAATATGTAATATTTTTCTGTTCTGGGCTTTTAAGTTTCTCCTTGACAAGAATGTCACCTGGGTTGCAGGCCACTACAAGAATGTCACCTGGGTTGCAGGCCACTCAGTGTTGGGGTAGCCTTTTCTAGTCAATTTGAAGGAAATGTAAAACTTCTACACATAAATGAAAGAAAATATTAAAACACTGATCCTGGTGAAGATATTTAACAAGAAGAGATGGGTAGGAAGACAAAGACTTCCTATTTTGACTAAGCACATCTGTGTTCACTGCTACTCCTGTTTATTACGTTAATCAATAGTCTGTGTGATGTTCTGCTCCTTCCATCTGTTTGTTGTACCCAGTTATCTCTCACCATACACTTAGACTGTAAGGTCTTTAGGGCAGGGACCATCCTTTCATTATATCGGTGGGGCCCTGAACAAGCTTGTCGTCTCTTAGCACTACTGAAGTACCAAAATAATAAATACCAGTAATACTTTTTCTTCTTTCAGGTAACGTAGTTAGTGCCTCAGAATCTAGGAATTCAGCTGCCTTGGTGAATTACAGAGCTTTATATTCATTCGAAGCAAGGAATCATGACGAGATGAGTTTTAATTCTGGGGATGTAGTTCAGGTAAGACCGGTAGTTCATGCTAACCTAACCACAAAAATCATTGACATATGTCTTCATCAAAATTAATGCTTTTTTTTTTTTACACACACACATTTTAGATTGGTTCAAATTTACAGTAATTGCTTCTTTTTAGGAGGGGGTAGTGGGATCGATTTAAGCAATATGCTCCTCTAGGACTAACATGTTATGGAGGAGTCGAGGGCCAAGGACTGGCACTGACTACTATGAAATGCCTAGCTTGGAAATCATTATTGCTGTTATAAACTTTCTGAAACAAATAACAAGAATAAGCTAAATAATCCTTGCTCTCCCATCTCTAGTGCAACATTTTGCAGGTATGCATATAAGGCTGCAAAGAAGATTACTATGTTTGCATTGCTATAGGCAAACATTGTCATAGATAAAAGTGTATAAAACAAGATTATTCGTGGTGCTAGAATTATTAAATACCTGACCTGCCTGGTTTGAATAGGTTTGAGGGTTTCTCCCAAATAATTAAAGGTCTGAATAGTGTTCTCTGTTACATTATCTGCATGGTGGTTCTTCGAGTAGATGCAGATGTGATGTGTGCGTGCCCAGCGCACCGGAGTCAGAGACTTTTGCCTAGCAGTCCCTGTAGAGGGGTGGCTCTCGCACCTCGTGGCTGTGGCCCCTCCCTTGGCTATATGAGGCAGCACTGCTCCAGCCCTCTCAGTTCCTTCTCACTGCCTGTGGCTGGAGTCAGAGGTTTGTGTGCTTGTAGTGTCACAACCTCGCATTTAGTCTTAGTCTAGTTTAAACACTGTCCTTCCTGTGGAGGGGCGATCCCCAACAGCGACCCCCACATGCAGTGCTTGCTTTGCCTCGGCAAGGCCCACCTTAAAGAGTGTGTATCATTTAAAAAGAGGACTCGGTTGGTGCAGGATCTTTGTCTCACGTAGCACCTGCTTGAACAGGCCATGCGGCCTGATCTGATACCAAGGCCCTCCTCAGGTCAAAGATTGCCCTCAGGCTCGGAGAGTGCTGCCACCCCTTGTTTTGGGGTAGGCGCCTTGCTGAAGAGGCAGAGGAGCCGTTCTCCATTGTCAGCATCGAGGAAGAGGTCTCATAAGACCAATTGAGACTGCTCCAGGTCACAGAGTGACTCCTCTGTTTCCCCCAGGAACAGCACAGACTAGCACAGGACCAGTTCCAGCATGTGCAATAGCATGGATACATCTGACCTTTCCCAATACTGAGTGGGAAGGACAGAAATCCTGTACCATTGATTCTGGTTCCAGCCTTCGGGTGTCCATTGAGTACGGTACTGACAAGGTGCATGCCAGTACTGCCTGAGTCCATGTCGTCAGTCTACCAGGAAACCACAGACCTCCTCTGCCTTTCGGTCCCAACCTCACCGTTGGTCCAGGACTTCCCAGGGCTGCGCCAACTCTGGCGCTTCTGATGGAGTGAGCCACTGAACCTTGGTGTCTGTTGACACTGTGTCCAGACACTCTCCTCACCGTGATGGGGATGGAGCCAGTACTGGAAATGGTGCAGGGGACCTTGGCACCCAGACCCTTTCTGGCCCCACTGCATTTGATGCTGCAACCGTTGACACTGATACATTTGTGCACTCTTGGACCACTGTTCGCGCCAGGACCAATGCTGCCTGTGGCACCCGCATGCTCAGTACGGATGGAACCATATTAAATGGGAATATCAGTTCCAACTTTGTTCTGGGAGACAAATGAATCGGACTGCCTGTTGACTCCCTTGGGCATCATTCCACCCGTACTGCCAAGATTTCGGGGCTCTCATTCCGAGTCAGAGTCGTCATACCCTACCCGATGAACCTCGGGGACTGCCAGTGGAACAATATGGCTCCTAAGGTTGGCGTGTGCCCCATGACTGAGAAGGAGGTCCCTGGCCTGGGCTCTGCTGGCCACCAGTGCTCTATCTGTAACAGTGGCCTTGGACTCAGTGGGATGTTCCTTATTAGCAGAGATACCGCTTTTCATCACATTTGAAGTCAAAGTAACCTGCATGGTCGTAGGTGGCTTCAGATTAACTGCAAGCCCAAGCAAGTCTGCTCTCTCCTGGGTACATCTTTCCAGGAGTGAAAGCCAGTTTTGGCTCAGCTGAGGCCTTGTTGCTGGACAATGCCATGCTGAATGGTTTATCCTCACCTTCTATTCCGGACAACTTTAAGGTGTACCAGGACCTCTTATGCCACATATCCGCATTACTGGGTATCCAGGCAGAGTTCCTCCAAGAGAACACACAAAAACTGGTGGATATTTTACACCCCGCCGTCCCTGGGAGGGTGGCCATCGTGGTCAGTGATGTGATCCTTGAGTCGGTGAGATCCCTGTGGAGTACATCAGCCTCAGTACCGCCAGGGTCTAAGTGAATGGAAAAGTGCTTCTTTGTTCCCATGGAGGGATTTGAGGGGTTCTCTTCTCACCTGGCCCCGAATTCGCTGGATGTAACAGTGGTAAACAACGGCCCAGCAGGGTTGGTTCAAGTCTACCCCCAAGGACAGAGACTCCAAGCAGTTACATCTTCTGAGCAGGAAGATCTATACCTCATCATCCTTCCGGTTTAAGATCACAAATCAACAAGGTTTAGTGGCCAAGTATGATTTTCTCAGTTGGTCAGCCATGGCTAAATTTGAGGACCAGTTGCCTAAGGTCTTGTGTGAGGAGTTCTGAGCATTCACTGTGGAAGGCTGCTTGGTGGTCATAATGTTCCTGCAGGCTGTCGTTGACATTGCAGACACTGTGGCCAGGGTCATGGCCTTGGCAGTAACTATGAAGAGGGCCTCCTGGTTGCAAAACTCTGGGATCACTCTGGACGTCCAGCAAGCCATTGAGGACTTGCCCTTTGATGACTAAGTCTTCTTCTCAGACAAGACTAATGGCACTTAGCCCTGGAATCCTTGAAGGAGTGCAATCCTTGGAAGTATACGTGCTGTCCATGCAAAGGCACAGCAGGAGCAACAATATCACCTGCAGAATTCCTTTGTCCAACCTTTCCCCTGAAACAGTGGGACTACCTTAGAAAAAGGGATAGCTCCCACAATAGGAAGCAGTGGGGCTTGGGCTTCAGACAGTCCACATGATCTCCCTTGGCACAGGCTAAGCGCTCATTTTGTCTCCTTTGTTCAGAGCAGTGGTCCAGTCATTACTACATCCCTTCTGTCCCCCCCATCACTTTAGGGGCAGGTTGACCCGCTTTTACAATGCTTGGATCTCAATTACCTCTGACAGCTAGGTTCTAGACACTGTCAGATCTGGCTACACAATCCATTTCCTCTCCAGGTCCACTTGCACATTCCTCTACAGAGATTCCTCTCACAAGACATTGCTCATTGAGCTGTATTTCTAGTTGGTAGCACTGGAACACCAGGGCCACGGTTTTTCTCCCAGAGCTTCTTGATACTGAAATATAAGGGCAGGATGAGAACCATTCTCAACCTTTGTGGCCTCTACAAATTCATCAAGTATGAGAGATCCCGCATGGTCACTCTATTGGCTATCCTTCCTGTGTTGTGTCAGAATGACTGGTTCATTGCTCTGGACCTGCAGGATACTTACTTTCTTGTGGTGATTCTGCTGATCCACAAGAAGTTTCTGTGTTTCGTGGTAGGAGAATGCCACTTTCAGTGTACGGATCTCCCCTATTCTGCCCCCCATGTCGTCACCAAATGCATGACAGTGGTTATCACCTATCTCAGGAAGAAGGGACTCCACATATTCCTGTACCTCAATGACTGGTTGCCGAAGCGGAGCTCTAGAGAGGAGGTTCTTGCCCACATTGACATCATGTTGAGTTTGCTTGACTGTCAGCACTCATTGTAAACAATGCAAAGTCAACCTTGGCTCCCACTCAAAAAATCGAGTTCCTTGGGACCCTGTTAGATTCCATGAGGTCGAAGGTGTTCTTACCGACCGACCGCTTCCAGGCAATTCAACAGTTTTGCCTCAGTCTGCAATCCCAGCCTTCCATGACAGTGCATGTGTGTCTGAGTCTGTTGTGCCTAATGTCTGTTTGCATGCAGGTGTTCCAGTTCTCTAGGTTGTACCCTCACCCTCGTCAGATGCAGCTCAGGACAGTTTACCACCCTGCCCTGCATTCTCTGGACAGGTCAGTTCGCCTTCTTCCAGCAGTTCTGGATTCCTTCCACTGGTGGGAATTCCCACGCAATGCGTGCCATTGGCCCTCTGTTTGGCCCTCTCCAACTAAATCAGTGGTTACTGACACTTCCCTTCTGGGTGGGTGGGAAGGAAGTGCATCTGGACTCATTAAGGTTGTGGGGCGTGTGGTTGGAACAGGAAGCCTCACTCCATATCAATGTTTTGGAACTTCAGGCCATCCACAATTCATGTTGTGCCTTCCGAGATCACATCACATACTAACCAACAATGCTACTGTGATGTACTATTTGAAGAAGCAAAGGGGAGCGGGTGCGGTACATTCCAGATTACTCTGCCTGGAGACGATCAATCTGTGGCACTTTTGCATTGAGGGAGACATCACCCTGGTAGCAGTCCATTTTCCAGGGGTTCAAAATAATCTCGCGGACTACCTCAGCAGGGTTTTCTCCTTGAGTCATGAATGGTCCCTGAAAGAGAGTGTTCGTCAAGTCATCTTTGCAACATGGGATGTCCCTGCGATGAACCTGTTTGTGATGAGGGAAAACATAAAGTGTCAGCTGTTCTGCTCTCGAGGGCCTCAGTCCTCTCAGACGCCTTCCACTGCAGCTAGCGGTCAACTCTTCTGTATGCCTTTCCACCTATTTCAGTCATTCCTCGGCTCATCCTCAAGCTCAAAGCAGATGAGGCCAAGCTCATTCTTGTTGCTCCAGCCTGGATGAAGGAGTGTTGGTTCTCAGATATCCTTGCTCTGTCAATTCAACCTCCCATATAGTTTCCTGTCCATCTTGACCTGCTCAATCAGAACCACGGCCAAACCCTCCATCTTGCAATCGGCTCCCAGCAGTGCTTGGAGGTTGTCCAACAAGTTCTACTTAACAAAGTAATTTAATCCAGTATTCTGAAATCTCTAAATATTAGACTTTGGTTTTATGGTGTTAAGTTACATATTTGCATGAGAGAGGGAAGTAAGAAAGGCATCTGTTAGTTTCAAGATATAAATAGCTGAGCATTCTTTTACTTTTGATACCCCGGTTTAGAAATATGCAACTCTATATATTGGATAATTTCAGATACTCATAAAATATTTTGATTAAAAAACTTCATAGTGTCTAATTTAAGATGTGATCAGTAGATGGAAACATTTGTTTATGTATCTTAGCCAGAAGAAACTTAATCTATATAAAAATTGTTTGAAGCCCCTTTCTTTTACTCTGTGTTTCTACCATGCGTAGCACAATGGAATCCTGATGTTGTTTGGGTCTGAGGTCTTACTAAAACACAAATAATCATGATAGTAATCATAGTAACTTTCCGACAAGCTCCATTAACTTCAGAGGTATGTTATGTCCTCTTTAGCCTTTAAATAAAACAACTGTAAATATCTCTCTAAGGGTGCATTATAATACAAAACCAGCAGTTTATCCTTTTCCCCATTTAAAAAGTAATTGTGCGCTTTATAAGAGCAAATAGCCTTGTTATACAGCTTGGGACAATATGTTATTAGGCAATGGGATTCTTAGTTTTTTTAAAAAGACTAAATTTTAAATGGGATGACAGTGCAGATGATGGGGTCTGATCCTTATGGTCACAACTTTTCCAGTTAAATCCACAGAATTGTAGCAGGTGCTAACACAGCAAATATTTTATCTAATATTTTTGGTTTCCAGGTTGATGAGAAAACCATTGGAGAGCCTGGTTGGCTGTATGGGAGCTTTCAAGGTCATTTTGGCTGGTTTCCATGCAGCTATGTAGAAAAAATACCAGAAAGTGAAAAAGCTTTATCTCCTAAAAAGGCCTTACTTCCTCCTACAGTATTTTTGTCTACTACCTCAGCTCCTCCAGAGTAAGTTTATTTATTGATAGTTCTATTTTGGATAAAATAAAATGTTATGTAATAGCATTATGGATTACTGTAAATTAAATGCAGAAAATTTATTATAGCGACTATATGGAGGAAGAGCTATAATACAGCAAGTTAAACTTTGATCTTCTGAGTTGCACTGGGCAGCACATGCATTTTGCATATGTAAGAAGTAGTAGGTCTTGCTAATGTACTTTCTAAGAAAAATTGTGCTTGTGCTAAATTTGCAGACCACTTTCACCAGGTAGATCAGCAGAAGACACTGATTACCAAAACGTACCTTTCTCAAGCCTAACTGTTAACACAACATGGCAGAAAAAATCCGCTTTTACTCGTACTGTGTCCCCAGGATCTGTTTCTCCTGTTCATGGACAGGTATGTTGGTGAGAATTTTATGTATTTTAGGTTCATGTTAACAATACTGATATACTTTTGTATAGATGAGTTACACTTTTTCTAACAGTTCACTGCAGTGATCTAGACCAAGGGTGGGGAAACTACGGCTCCGCCTGTGAGCCATTTTAAGCCGGCCTGTGAGCTCCTACTGGGGAGCTGAATCGGGGCTGCACCACGCAGTTCAGCCTTGCTCTGGCGCTCCAATCGGGGTGCCAGGTAGGGGGCCACACCATGCAGCTCCCGGAAGCTGCACCATGGCCCTGCTCCGAGGGTCGGGGGCCGCTCCACGCCAAGGAGCCGGAGAAGGGACATGCCGCTGCTTCCAGGAGCCGCTTGAGGTAAGTGCCACTCGGAGCCTGCACCCCTGAGCTTCTCCCCCTGCCCCAGCCCTGATCCCCCTCCCGCTCTCCAAATCCCTCGATCCCAGCACGGATCACCCTCCTACACCCCAAACACCTCATCCCCAGCCCCACCCCAGAGCCTGTACCCCCAACCAGAGCCCTCACCCCCTCCTGCACCTGAAACCCAATTTTATGAGCATTCATGGCCTGCCATACAATTTCTATTCCCCGATGTGGCCCTCCGGCCAAAAAGTTTGCCCACCCCTGATCTAAACACAAAGCCAAATTCCCAGTTGGTGTGAGTGGGCATACCTCTATTGCAGTCTGTGGAGCTATGTTAATTTACACTACCTGAGGATCTGGTCCTTAAACTCTTTCTTCTTCTTCGAGTGCTTGTTCATGTCCTTTCCAATCAGGTGTGTGCAGGCGCGCATGCATAACAGCCGGAAGATTTTTTCCCTCGTCAGGTCGGCCTGGGCGCCCCCTGGAGTCGCACCTTCATGGCACTCAGTATAGAGCCCTGCGACCCCGCCAGCCCATCAGTTCCTTCTTACCACCAGTGACGGTAAGCTGGAACGTACTTTAGCTCTTGCCTTGGCAAGCGCCGTTCACAGTGTCCGTTGTATTATACTTCTTGATACCGTTAGTGTTAGTTATTAGTACTTGTAGTGTAGATATAGTTAGTGTTAGGTTTTCTTTGGGGTTCCCGTTCCCCCAACGCTCCCGGTGTCGTGGTGTGACACGGTCCCCAAGCTTTAAAACTTGTGAGGCCTGTGGCAAGTGCATGCCTAAAAGTGACCCCGCACGCTTTGTGAGGGGAGAGCCACCAGGAAGACCAGTGCAAGATCTATCGCGAGTTTTGCCCTAGGACTTTGAAAGACCGAGACCAACGTCTTAAAGTCCTTTTTATGGAGGCTGCACTCCGGCCCCAGTCAGACCCTGGATCAGGGGATCCCGCGTCTAGCACCACCTCCTTGGTGCTGAGTGCCCCAGCACAATCTACAGGGGAACCAGTGTTGAGAAAGAACTCATATTGAGACTCTCAGCACTGTCACAGCTACTCCCGTGGACAGGCTTTGGACAGGCACCGGTTGCAACCACCAGTGCCACAAAAGAAAAGCTGGCTGGAGAGGGGCTGCTCTACCCCGGCCAAGTCGAAGGAGTCGGCCACTGTGAGACCCCAGTGGGGCCACACCACCTCGGCCCCTTGGCCGGCTAGGGTCACGTCGACGCCTGTCCCGGTGGCGGTGCAGTTGAGTCCAGATCCTCCCCACTTGCCGGCCCCAGGAGCCAACAGCTGCAGCTCCCATTGACTGCAGAGGCATTCGCAGCAGCCCAGGACTTGTTGTGCCATATGGTGCCATTTTCCCCTTCCAGGGGGGATAAATCGCCGGCACTTTCCCATCCCAAGGGGAAAGTAGGCTATGATGTCACAGTGCTCACCATTGGAATGGGTTACCTAGGGAGGTGGTGGAATCTCCTTCCTTAGAGGTTTTTAAGGTCAGGCTTGACAAAGCCCTGACTGGGATGATTTAGTTGGGGATTAGGTCATGCTTTGAATAAGGGGTTGGACTAGATGACCTCCTGAGGTCCTTTCCAACCCTGATATTCTATGATTCCATGAGGGGGTGGCGGGTCAGCAGGCTCTATATTGAGTGACATGAAGGCACAACTCCAGGGATGCTGCTAGGGGAAAAATCTTCCGGCTCCCATGCACGCGTGCACACACCTGGTTGGAATGGAATGAACAACACATCTCGAAGAACAACAGTTATGAGAAGGTAAGTAACCATTTTTTTTCTTTCACTATATTGTGTTACTCTGGGTTAATTTCTTTCAACTTTGGGATTTTGTAAGGATAGCAGCTGCAGTGTGTGGAGGAACCTAACAGGTAAGCATGTGTTTATCTCATCAGTTTGGGCCTCAAGATGATCTTTCAGATTTCCCTACCTAGCCATTTGGGGACTACTGTTTCCTTTCTTTTTCTACCAAAAGGTATATTTTACCTCCAGGCAGAAGACTACCAATGTGTGGGCCCTTCCAGAGTTACTCTTAAAAGCAAAGGAGTACTTGTGGCACCTTAGAGACTAACCAATTTATTTGAGCATAAGCTTTCGTGAGCTACAGCTCATTTCATCGGATGCATACTGTGGAAATTGCAGAAGACATTATATACACAGAGACCATGAAACAATACTTCCTCCCATCCCACTCTCCTGCTGGTAACAGCTTATCTAAAGTGATCACTCTCCTTACAATGTGTATGATAATCAAGTTGGGCCATTTCCAGCACAAATCCAGGTTTTCTCACCCCCCCCCCCCCAACTCACTCTCCTGCTGGTAATAGCCCATCCAAAGTGACCACTCTCTTTACAATGTGTATGATAATCAAGGTGGGCCATTTCCAGCACAAATCCAGGTTTTCTCACTCCTCCCCCCCCCAAAAACACACACACACACAAACTCACTCTCCTGCTGGTAATAGCTTATCCAAAGTGACCACTCTGCCAGCGTTGTTTTGTAGAACCAGATACATGTCTAAGATATTTCTAACTTAATTGGCAAGTAGGAAGCAGAGTCCAGAGACCACTCCGGAGTCCACATACCACATATGGCAGTGCAAAATGCTGTGGTCAAGACAGCAAGTCATTCAACTGGCATTTAGGAGTGAACGCACCTAGAGTACAAGAGGCGATTTTTGAAACTTGCATAAGTAATAGGTACTAAAGCTGATTAACATCTGTATTTTTACTTGAACAGGGACAAGCTGTGGAGAATTTAAAAGCACAGGCACTTTGCTCCTGGACTGCAAAAAAGGATAACCACTTGAACTTTTCAAAAAATGATATAATTACTGTGCTGGAGAAGCAGGAAAACTGGTGGTTTGGAGAGGTGCATGGAGGAAGGGGATGGTTTCCTAAATCCTATGTCAAGATCTTGCCTGGAAATGAAAACAAACGAGAGGAGTAAGTGAGACTGTTGGTATTTTTGTATTCAACAGCTGAAAATAGAGTGAAAAACATGGGGATACTTTAAATTATGGGAACTAAATAGCATGTATGACCTGCACCATGCCATCGTGGGCTGTAATTTAATCAGCTTTCACAAGCTAAGTAATGTTGGGCCTGTTCAGTAAACATGTTAGATCTTTCAAGCTGGGTGCTAGAAAAAAGGGGTGTGTGGTTATTCAACAGGTGACATGCTGCTTCCTCTTGATTCAGTATCTCAGCATGGTGCTGGCACTCCACTGCTGGAGGTGTTACCTTTTAGATGATGTACAAAATTGAGATGTCTTTGCCATTAATCATTATACACTCCTGTGGCACATCTTGTAGAAATAGTGGTATTTTTCCTAGCTGTCAAAAGTAGTGCCAGACTATCCTAGTATTCAAGCTAACGGTTCAGTTAATTACTGAAAGTCTGAGTAGTGCTTCTGCCACGGAATGGCTGCTTCATTCCAACCTAGGGATGATTACAGGTTGGTGGTTGAAGTGATCTTTGCACATACATGACTTAAAGTTTTTTGTGATTTTTCTAGAATAAGGCAAATTTTAAATAAATGTCAAGTTGTTACACCTAAAATAAAGATTTTGTATGTCTTGATCACCGCAATTTGTGACTGTTTTCCAAACCCTGTAGCTTAAATTAGGACTCTTCCATATGATTAATTGAAGTCATATTTTTTGCTCTTAGGGTAAACCTTTCTTGATCTCCAATAAATTTTTAATTGTTTAGCTTTTGCTAATAATTAATGTTATTGCAGAATTTCTGATATTCCTTAGTCATGACCTATATAATATTTAGGAGATATTGCAGTAATGTGAGTGACCACTTGCAACAACTTAATTAAAAAATGTAATGGGGACAACAGCATTAGTAATATATACCAATTGAGAATGAAATAATGCTTGGCTGCAATTTTTTTGTCACTCAAAGAATAGGAAAATTACACTGTACTAAATCTTTATCACTAATTGAAGAATGTTTTGTTAAACCAGCCAGACTAAATCACTTGGATTTTTATGTCTGCAGAACCGAAACTATTTATGCAGCTGTAAACAAGAAGCCTAGTACACCATCTTATACAATTGGAGAGGGTAAGCATGCAATTACAATGTCAGTTATGAAATTATAAAACTAATTTCTGTTTAATAGCATGTAAATTAATAATGGATATGCGTAGAATTATATCTTGATCAGGTCTGTGACTGTTATAGAGATCTAATATAGTCACAACTGCTTTTTAGATTCCTAAGTGTATCGGTTTTTTTACTTTTATGTATTTAAGTGGAGAAAGTATAAGTTCAAATGGGAAAAATAATTTGTGAGAAACAATCTCTGAACTTTTTAATTTGATCTGCATTTACCCATTTTCCCACCCTTTCAGACTATATAGAATGCGTGTAGACTCTGCTTAGAAAAGTCAGTTGGGCTTTTGATCTCTACCATGATAATCAGATATTATGCAGTTCACCATCCGTATGGAGTATTTCTTCTTATGGCTTTTCTGAATTTAAATGTTTGTGCTGAAGTGTGGGTCCAAGCTGAAATCTCTCACATATAACAATTCTTAAACTGTGGTCTGTGGACCACTGATCATCCATAGAGCGGTCGCTGTTCACATGGTACTAACTCTCCTCATTTCCATCTGCTAAATCACACATTCAGACACTACAAATATATTACTTTTCCTTGTAAGCAGTTACCTGTGGTTGCTACATTTGTCACAGAAATGTTATGTGCATGCACATCCGAGAGAGAGTCTGCACAATTGCAAATGGGAGGTGAGATGATGGATGCAATTTAAGTGAGAGGGAAGGTTGGTCCATACTATGAAGTTGCTTGAGCAACCCTTATATGAGAGATTTTTAAAATGTGACTAGCATGCCTCTTGTATTTACTGTATTAGGGTTTTGATAAAATTCAATTTAGTTTCAGCTGTAATCAAGAGAGGCCAAACACTTTTTCACTGTAACTAATGCAGTTTCTCTCTCTCTCTCTCTCTCTCTCTCTCTCGTTGAACAGAGTATGTTGCACTCTATTCCTATACGAGCTCTGAACCTGGAGATTTGACTTTTGCTGAAGGAGAAGAAATACTAGTCACTCAGAAAGATGGAGAATGGTGGACAGGAAGCATTGCTGACAGAACTGGCATCTTTCCATCAAACTATGTCAAACCTAAGGATCAAGATGTGAGTTTTTGTCTTGGGTTTTGTTACTTAAAGCAAGAAGATTTTATTTTTGTCTGTATAAGTTTACTGTATTTTGCTAGAATTCTGACTTTAAAAAAGCCAACAAGTTACACTGTATGTCTTGTATATAGGTAGTATGTTCACATTCTAAAATTTGGGCATTAAATTGTAGCACTCTGGTGGTGTATCTGGCATAAATGCTTAGGTCAAGAAAGCGATTTGCCTTTTTTCAAACCATTATGCTTTACCTTATGTAAAGGGAAAAAATTCAGAAAAAATGTTATTTGTGGCAAAAGAAGAATATTAAAAAAAGAAAGTTGCGGTAAATTCTGCTGTTAGCACTGCAAATTAAAATCTTGTATCTTTTGATTGTAGGGTTCTGGTACTGCTGGCAGAACTGGGACACTAAATAAGAAACCTGGTGAGTCTGATGTAACTTACAAACCTTTAGCTTATTGTATTTGTTCATTATTCACCAGTCTTTTTTTTATTTCAGAGATTGCCCAGGTGACTACAGCGTATGCTGCATCAGGGACAGAACAGCTTAGTCTGGCTCCAGGACAGCTGATACTTATTCTGAAGAAAAACCCTAGTGGATGGTGGCAAGGAGAGTTACAGGTAATTAAAGGAAAAAATAATCTTCACAGAATGAATAATGAGAGCAATTTTTGTGATTTAATTTAAAAAGTGAGAAGCTCTTAAGTTCTTTTTGCTGTATATAAACTGTACTTGAACATCACATAAAACCTATATTGCTGGGCCTGTTTCTGTCACAGAAAATCAGTGTTTGTAACCCTGGCAGAATGTAGGGGTCCAGTATTGGCAATTAATAAAAAGTAATAATTAGTGTCAGAAGAACCACTTAACTAATAAAACAGTGCTAACTTTGTTAAAATATTAAATGGTAACAATCCTCTGATGAAATAGTAGGACCTCTTAAAAGCAGGAGGGAAATTAGTATAGGATATTCTAATTCCTTGCATTCACAGAGCATTTTTCACTCAGAAAGCTCTGAAAGCAAACTTCATAAACTACCTACAGTAGCATTTCAAAAAGCAAAGTATCATTTTAACATCATTTTTACAGGTCTTGGGAGCTATTGGCAATGGAAAAGTTAATATATAATCTGTGCAAGGAAATATATAGGAAATTAGTAGTAGTTTGCATTTTATTAGAAAAGGAGTTTTGGCTGTGTTTCAGGATGGAACCCCAGAGGGAGGAGGAAAGGAGATGAAAACTGAGATGGCTAGTTGTCAGGCCTTGCTTGGTTGAATTTCATATTTTATTGCAGTAACTGAGTATTTTTCCATATTTTGTATTACAATAGCATTGCTTGTACACACTTACGACATGTTGTGAGAAAAGCTGTCAAGATGTAGGAATATTACCTCTTTGAGATTTTCTGCTCATACTATAATCTTTCTGTTTTTTACAGAAAAAGTGAAGGTAAAAAAAAAGTCAAGAATCCACTATACAAGCTTTCTTTTTAGATAACAATCACTCTGTCTTATCTGATAGAAAGTGGTGCTAAATTCATAGGCCAAGATTTTCAAAAGTCGCTAGTGACATCGGATGACTCCATTTTTGAGTGCCCAGTCTGAGACACTTTATAGGGGTTCTACTTTCAGAGGTAAGTGGTCAGCACTTTTTGAAAATTAGGCCCCTGTAAGCTGTCTCAAGTGGAGCATCCAAAATTACTAATCACTTTTGAAAATCTTGACTGTGAACTTTCCACTCAGTCAGTTGAGCAAATTACAGTGCAGCCATACTCAAATATGCTTTTAGTAATAAATGTAAACCAAATTTTGTCTTGTAGATCCATTCAGTGCTTAATAACTTTGTAGGCAGGTTTTTTGTGACGAGAAGCTGTGTGGGTGGGGTGCTCATTACAATCCACTGGTCAGTTGTCTATTTAATTCTAAAACATATTTTTTTATAGGCAAGAGGGAAAAAGAGGCAGAAAGGATGGTTTCCTGCCAATCATGTTAAATTGTTAGGTCCAAGCAGTGAGAGAACTACTCCTGCTGCTCTCTCAGGTAGGAAAATAATCTCATTTATATTAAACTTGGAATAATTGTATGTAATTCTTTCCTTTACACTAAATAACAGTCAGTCTATAGTGTAATAGTCTGATTAATTGCCACCTATTACCCTTGTGATGCAGTCAGTATTGGGGACCATTGTACCAGGCTCTGAACAAACACAGGAGAGGACAGTCTCTGTCCCAAGCAACATACAGTCTGTCAAACAACTTTTTCATCAAAAAACAGTGCTGTCTGTGGCTCCTGTCCTGGAATGCGCCATCTTCTGTTATGGCTTATTGCACTGAGAATACACCCTTTGTTTCTGTCCTACAGACTGTGTCCAAACACATCCTGCTTACACATGGCAGCAAGACTTCTGGGAACTTTGCTGTTATTGACAATACCCCTACAACTGTGTGCTATGCTGCTTCTAAGGGTGGGCAGATGCAGCCTTAACTCCACATGGATTTTTGATTGGCTATGTAGGTCTTGATGAGAACAGCTTTCCCTGGTTCCACTTCCTCAAAGTCTGCAAATACCCTACCTTCTGCTGTGTTTGTACAAGAGTTCCACAGGCATCCATGATCGAAACCTCTCTCTGAGGCTTAGTTTTTTATACATTCTTTGTACACACAGACCTTTTTCTCTCACACAAATATCCACTATAAAATAATTAATCTGTTTCTCTGACAGGGTGGGGAGAAAGATGTTTCACTTATTTTTATGTTTGAATATTTGGAAGGTGAACAGATGCTATGGTTATGGGAACCATCTAACTACCCAAGTAGATAGAATTGTAAAGTTGGGAACTAGAGAGAAAAACTGACCAAAGTTAATTTAATCTATCGCTGACCACATTATTAATAAAAGGGGAAGACAGGGCTGTCAAACTGTACTCCCACGTCAAGATAAAATATTCTGGGGTTGATTTTTTTGGTTTGTCCTTGAAAATGGTTTGTCTCATAGATATTTTCTGTGGGCTTTATGCAGTCTTAACTCTGACTTACCTTATACTAGAAGTTGTGCTAACCCTTGTTGTGAATATTCTTTTTCTTCCTAGTATGTCAAGTAATAGCAATGTATGATTATGCGGCAAACAATGAAGATGAGCTCACTTTCTCCAAGGGGCAGATCATTAATGTACTGAGCAAAGATGATGCAGATTGGTGGCAAGGAGAAATCAGTGGTGTGACAGGTCTCTTTCCTTCAAACTATGTGAAGATGACCACAGACTCTGATCCAAGCCAACAGTGTAAGAAATAATTTTTGAAAGAATTTTGCATTGCATTTCTAAGATTTAACATTCAATTATTGTGTTTAGAACTATTTTGTGCTTAGAACTAGGAGCCGTAGGACTTCTAATGGGTGTGTAAGTACATCAGAACTTCACTCTTCCACTTGACAAATCTACACTAAAATATTGTCACTCCATTTTTTCAGCCAAGGTTTAGTAGCAGCAGTGCTGCTGTGAGGCCCCTAAATAAACATTACACCTGTGCTGTATTAACCTTGCTTTTAAATTGTTCACAGTATTTTTTAATTAGCAATGAGTCTCTCAGTCAGTGCAGATGTACTTGTTCTACTGTATTTTATTATTTTTCTTTCTTTGGATTTCTACAAAATACGAAAAACACTTATCATAAGACTTTAGGCAGCTTTGGAATACATTAAAAAGTACATACCAACTTAAAAAAATAAGCACAGCAGCTTCCCCAAACTATAAAAAGGAAAGAAAAAGATCCCCACCCTAACCAGTGAATCCCAGCTTACAATATATCTATCCCAACCCTCAAATCATCCTTGCTTCTTCAAAATCCTGAGAAAGATATGGGCTTTGCAGCACGTCCTCAAGATCAACAAATGTGGGTTATCTGGGGGCAAGCTGGATACTGAATTCTAGTTCAAATTTGTGTCATTAATGTGAAGGATACATGTTACGTTCTCTTTCTAACATACAAGCACTGTGAAAGTTCTGTCTTTGGCCTCTCATTCCAGTGCTAGGTCACTACAGTTTTCACTCCCTCAGCCTTTCATCTTGGGTCAGGGACAGCATGATAAAATCAGTTTTGTCATCTGAACCCAAGGCATTAATGGCTTGGGACAAACCTTAATGGCTTTGTGACGCTTCCCGGGGTACCTTACTATCACTGCCCTTAGCGTGAGGAAGTCTTGCCTGTGTCTGTTGGGGGGTCAGCTCACTAGCTCGACTAGCCATGGGCAACATAAGCACTCCCTCTACATCTTGCAGGCTCTGCTGTTTCTCTGCCAGTTAGCTATTGTTATACTCCCAACCGTCAAGCCTTCCAAGTATCTCCCAGGAATGGGCAGGTCCTGGTCTACTGGACACTCAGTGTTCACAAACTCATTGCTTCCGAGGAAACTGCAAACCCCAGCTCACCAGTTCCCCCTCAGATTACTGCTCCACTGAACACATAGCACTTATACTTGATTTCACTATAAACATATCTAAGTGTATTTAACAAAGCATAAAGATTCAAGTAATAGCAACTAGAAGTATTGAAAATAAACGGTTATATGTAAAACAAAATCATAATGTGCATTTAGAGCCTAGACTTAATTAACAAGGTACTATCATGTCTTGTAGAGTATTGCTCACCCAAAATCCTTGCTGCATTTACAGCCAGAATGGGCTGTGGGTCGTCCGTGTCCGTCCCTCCCCCCCACCCCCGCCTGGTATTAGCTCATCTTAAGTGATCACTCTCCTTACAGTGTGTATGATAACACCCATTGTTTCATGTTCTCTGTGTATATAAATCTCCCCACTGTATTTTCCACTGAATGCATCCGATGAAGTGAGCTGTGGCTCACGAAAGCTTATGCTCAGATAAATGCGTTAGTCTCTAAGGTGCCACAAGTACTCCTTTTCTTTTTGCAAATACAGACTAACACGGCTGCTACTCTGAAACCTTCCATGAGACAGACACTGTCAGCTTGCCTCCTAGGCAAAGGACCTTGTTTGTTTCCTTGTGCCCCCAGATATATCCTTACAATCCCTTGTCGTTAGTCATAAACAAGACACCCCAAGCTGTTTGTTTCATGCTGTGAATTTCCTCGCTTGTAGATTTTGCAATCTCTTCTTTTTCCTTTTGTGCAGTATGCAAGTAGGCTTACAGCGTGAGGCATACAATACACAAATGACAAGACAGTGGGAACAGGTATCTGCTGCCTCCTGTCTGAAAGGAACATTTCTGAAGTATGCCACCTCTTGGTGATCTGCCTTAATTCCAGGACCTTAAGAACATAATTTCCCATACAGATACCTAACTCAAATATTATCTGTACATACATTTTGGAATGATTATGATGACCAGTGGGCTACTGGCTCTTGGTAGTGACTTTGCGTGCCACCCTTTGGAGATCTATTATGCAGATATCTGACCAAGAGGATCTCTGTAAAACTCTGTGCAGCCCCCCAGGCCACCTGCTAGTTGGCACCAGGAGGTCCTGTGTCACAGCTTTTAATTTCTCTTTTACATACCAGGCCCTAGCTCTTCAGTTAATTCCATTCTTCTCTTGATCGGGCAGCAGGTGTTGCTGTAAAATGGCAAAAGTAAAGTAAACTTTCTCATAGACTCATAGATATTAAGGTCAGAAGGGACCATTATGATCATCTAGTCTGACCTTCTGCACAATGCAGGCCACAGAATCTCACCCACCCACTCCTGCAATAAACCTCTCACCTATGTCTGAGCTAATGAAGTCCTCAAATCATGGTTTAAAGACTTCAAGGTGCAGAGAATCCTCCAGCAAGTGACCTGTGCCCCATGCTACAGAGGAAGGCGAAAAACCCCCAGGGCCTCTTCCAATCTGCTCTGGAGGAGAATTCCTTCCCAACAGCAAATATGGCGATCAGCTGAACCCTGAGCATGTGGACAAGATTCACCAGCCAGATACCCAGGACAGAATTCTCTGTAGTAACTCAGATCCCACCCCATCTAACATCCCATCACAGGCCATTGGGCCTATTTACCATGAATAGTTAAAGATCAATTAATTGCCAAAAATCATGTTATCCCATCATACCTATCTCTTCCATAAACTTATCAAGTTTAATCTTGAAGCCAGATAGGTCTTTTGCCCCCCCTGCTTCTCTGAGAAGGCTGTTCCAGAATTTCACTCCTCTGATGGTTCCTCCTTTTGGTTCCTCCTTTGTCTAATTTCAAGTCTAAACTTCCTGATGGCCAGTTTATATCCATTTGTTCTTGTGTCACATTGGTACTGAGTTTAAATAATTCCTCTCCCTCTCTGGTATTTATCCCTCTGATATATTTATAGAGAGCAATCATATCTCCCCTCAGCCATCTTTTGGTTAGGCTAAACAAGCCAAGCCCCTTGAGTCTCCTTTCATAAGACAGGTTTTCCATTCCTCGGATCATTCTAGTAGCCCTTCTCTGTAGCTGTTCCAGTTTGAATTCATCCTTCTTAATCATGGGAGACCAGAATTGCACACAGTATTCCAGATGAGGTCTCACCAGTGCCTTGTATAACAGTACTAACACCTCCTTATCTCTACTGGAAATACCTCACCTTTCCCTTCTGGTGTTGCAAGCACTACCATTTGTAGTTGTCCCAGCATAGAAAAAGCATTCAGAATTCAGAATGGATCTATATCTTAATAGCACATAATATAAATTGATTTAAATAGATACAGGTTCGGCATTAACCTGGTGCTTTGAGAGTTTTTTGTTTGGATACAGACAGAATCCCACCTAATTGCTAAATTACTTTGGGGCATTTGTAAAACCAGAATCCTGACCACTTGTGACCATTAAAAATTCCGAGGAATATCCCAAAAGGATAGAAATGTTAGCCCAAGTGACCCGATTATGTTTCAGTTTAGATAAATGCTTTTGACTTACCTGAATTCCATGTCCCTTTCAGCTATGAACTGATCTTTACTTCCCATTCTCTGCAGTGTGTTTTTGTGTTGATATGTACTATTCAACAGTTCCTGTATTTCATTCGAATGGAGGCTGTCCTGCAGTGGTGGGATAGTGGGGTGTATGGGTTTAGGAGGGAGAGGTGTATTTAAAGTACTGGGATTCATGTAGATGAAGCGTGAGAAGTAGGTGCAAGATCTTTATGCATGTTATTAATTCCAACAAAAGTAGTCCTGAAATTGGGTCATAATTAGACACATAAGCAGTTCTTATTTACTCATTGCCATGTCGCTAAGTTGGCTTCCTCTCAAATGTGGATCTTGAGTACCAGCATCCCCCACAGAAACAATTGCCAGTTGTGGACAAAATTTTCTTTTGCAAGTGTGTGAATGAGAGAGGGCCTACCAATAGCAGTCAGCAACGTACACTTTCACTAGTGCTTGGTTATTCCAGTTGTCTCTGTCAAGAAGTCTCTGATTTAAGAAGCAATCCTGTTGATGTTTTGAGGTTCAGGAACTTAATCCTGTAAGTGAATGAAGTACATGTTCAGAAATTACAGCCAAAGTCTTTTGCTGCTAAAGTGATTTCATGTGTTTCAGCTGAGTTGGGTACCAGCCACTTGCTGGACCTTATATACCACACAACATAGCCAACTTTGTAGGAGGGGAAAATGCATGAAATTTTTCAGTGGAATATGTGAAGGAAGTAGAACTTCAAAGGGATTTTTAGTAGGAAGCATGAAGGGGCAAATTTAACAAATATTAATGTTATAGCATCATATTTGCTATAAGCTCTCACTTTTGTGGACATAAGTGTAGTTGTACTACATCATCCATAATTAAGGCTGCGAGTTTGTCACGGAGGTCACGGATTCCGTAACTTTCCGTGACTTCTTTTAGTGGCCAGTGCATCTGGCCTGGTGGCAGCTCAGGCAGCCCCTGTGCCGGTCGCACCAGCTGCTGCTTGGGCAGTCTCAGGCCACTGTGCCCCACTTCCCTAGCAGCAGCAGCAGGAGTTTGGGTGTGGAAAGGGGCAGGGAGTTGGGGCACGGGATGGGGTGAGGTGGGCTCTGGGCGGCGCTTACCTGGAGGGCTCCCCAGAAGTGATGAAATCCCCCTCGCTCAGCTCCTAAGCATAGGCGTGGCCAGACAGCACTGCACATTGCCTCTGCCTGCAGGCACCACCCCCGCAGCTCCCGTTGGCCACAGTTCCCGACCAATGGGAGCTGCGAAGCCAGCACTCTGGGTGGAGGCAGTGCACAGAGCTGCCTGGCCATGTCTGCACCTGAGTGAGGGGGATCTTGCCACTTCCGGGGAGGTGCAGAGCCAGGTAGGAAGCCTGTTGGACTTGCCAACCCTCCCCCCCAATACCAGCAGAGGTACCACCCCTCCAAGCATCTGCGGCACCCCTGGGCTGGCGCCCCCCGAAGATTTAGTCAGGGGTGTATAGTAGAAGTCATAGACACATCATGGGCTGTGAATTTTTGTTTACTGCCTGTGACCTATTACTAAAAATACCTGTGACTAAAACGTAGCCTTATCCATAAATCCATATGCTCCATGACTAGGGAGTTTACTTTCAATCTCAGAATTCTTCCCCTATTTGATGGTGCAAAATGTCCAGGCAGGGCAATAGTCACAAGAACACTCCCTGCTTGGATAGCATAAGGAAATAGACCCAACATTGTGCTAATGTCTGAAAAAGAACCAAGTGAAGTGGGAAGGGAAAGGGAAACAGGAAGTAAGGCTTGAGGAGACGTAAAACTTCTTCTAAATTCCTGCTTAGGATGCCCTCTTTATTTTTTTCTATGTTGAGTGGTTGTCTGCAAAGACCCAGATTTCAGTCCCTGGTGTCAAGAATCATATGTCTAAACTTAAGCGTACACATTCCTGATGTGACTGCAAATCATGTGTTTACACATGGTCAGCTCAGCATCTAACTTGCTCTGTGTGCACCTACCAAATATGCCTGCGTACATCAGGTATTGCTTGTGTAACTTAAGTGCACACACACAAGGAGGCATATGTGGAAACCTCATTTTGAAAATCCAGCTATTTTTTTTCATGTTAGTGTTATATTTCAATTATATAAAAATTGCATAGAGCTGTACAAAGAAGGGGAATTTTACATCAACCCCCTGATGCCTGTAGTGTGTGATTGGAAGAAGAACACTGAGGGAGAATTAAAAATTAAGAAAATCACAACAACACTTTAAAATATATATAATTTACCAACTGCATAATTGGTTTTCTTTAAAATAAGCTTCTTGTACTTATTTAAATTGGCTGCAGAAATTAGCATAAGTGTGCTGTAGAAATCAGTGGGAGAGTCTTCCCACAGAATTTGTTTGATGCATTGTGCCCAGGACCTGTTTGGAAATTAAAACCTCAAAGAAGTGAACACAGCTTGAGAAGTCTAGTGTATATTTGTTAAAGACAAATTTAGGAATTGAATTGCCAGCTTAAGTATTGTAACCTGCATGTTTCCTTTCATTTTTCTCCTGGTGTCTGTTATAGTCAGTGGAAAGTGATGATATTTGAAAGTGGGAAAACAAATCTGACACACACAAAGGACATTTTACAGCAGCAGGTGAAGATCCTAGTATATTATCTCCCTCATTTTCAGACTGTGGTCCATGGGCCACCATCCCTAACCAGATCAATTTTTAGTGACCTGCAGAATTAAATGTTTAAGAGCCAAGTTGAGAGCAATTGTGGTGGTGGTAGAGGAGTTCCTTGTGTTGTGACGACATTTTAATAGCCCTCATCCTAATATTTGCACAAAATTGACCTAGATTAGGTGAAGAGTGAATCTTCCTTCAGTAAAGAGAATTTTCACTATGTAGTTAAAATATGTGTATATATAGATATGATTAAAGGAGTATTACAACCCTTTGTTTATGATAATATTTAATGGCATGCTTGTGTGTATTATTCTTACAATAAATAATTCATAATTTTCCCATGGAATCTTAACGTATCAGCTGGGAGTGAGAGTAGTACATGGTTTATGCCCATGAAGTCCTTGGCTTCTAAAATGAGACTTCCAACAATTGTGCAGATTGAAGCGGTACTTTCTGTGACATGAACATATATTCAGCAGGCAACGATTCAGCAGGCAACCAAGTTTCATTTCACATGGGCCACTGACCAGAATCAGCAAGTTAATTTTATTTGTAACCATGTCTTAATCTGAGCAAGTATTTTCCAGAGCATGTAGAAAGTGGAGCAGTAATTTCTTGCTATTAATCTTGTAGGTGAAATCCTGGCTTCCTCGAAGTCAGTGGGAGTTTTGCCATTGACTTCATTGAAGCCCGGATTTCACCCATTTTGCTTTAGGTTCACATATCTTAATTAGTAATACACCTTTAAATCTTTCATGAGAAAGGGTTTTGGGGGTTTTTGTGAATGAATTAGCTGCGGTGTATTGGTGAGCATCTGTGATGGTTGGTTGATGTTAAAATTATTTTTAGGCACAAATAATTGCTTGTGTATGCTTACAAAATATAGAATTGAAAGAATAGAAAGGTATGACGTTTTATTTTAGGAAAGTTGAATGTTAGTCATTCCTTTCTAACCTTTCAGTGTTGTTCTGTCTTCTTTTGTCCTTAGTACTCATGTTTCACTCTTCAGATTTGTGTTTGTGTTCATTTTATCCTTCATTTTTTTTTTTTTTTAGGACCCAATGTTGTCTTCCAGTGTGAAAGCACCTCAGAGACCCACTATCCAAGTTTGACTATAGCGTGGAGGCAGGGTGGACAGCCCTGCTCAAATATCTGACACAATCCATTTGCTTCGTTTGAATGTTAGATCCACACGAGAATTAATTTTTTGTGTTTTATAATCTACTGTTACAATTAATTTGTAAAACCAGAAAGGATAGTGGGTCTTTGTGTGGCTTTCACTGCTGTCCACTCTGGTTTCCTCTAGTGTTTTTTTCCTTTTCTTATTGATAATCATAGATCATTAGCATGCATATCAAGGTATCCCTTGCATGGTGGGATTTCAGACACACAAAGACCCACTATTTGCACAAGTTAGCTGAGCTGTTTTATATGGGCAGATGTCTTCTTGTAATGTTATAACCTGTGCATACTTTGCAGAATTGAAATGTTTGCTGATTACTGATCTGATAGACTTAGTTTAATCCTGTGCACAGTGAGCTTTTTAAATTGGCAACATATATGATTCATCCAAAAAATAAAACCTGGCCTACCTTTCTACATTACAGAGTGCCACTGTGACTACAAGTATGCCATGTAGTTTAGGTTTTAGATCATAGAACTGTTTTGTCTGATTCAGTCCAGCCTTCCAAATGGCCTTTTTGTGAGGAGAGGAGTTTAGAGGTGGAATGGAGGATGCTTTCATTTCATTTTCTTCTCTCATCTCATCACAGTAGCACTATGGGGCATTTTCTCTCAAGGCAAAGGCAAACTAGGCTAATATAATTTGTGGGCTGGCCTGCAAGTTACTTTGGGTGGATGTGTCCTATCCCTTGGCCACCACCTTCCCTCAAACATTTTACCATTGTAACACACTTGTCGTCAGTTTTGGTGAACAGCATCATCTAATCTTACTACAATTGGTACCATGCTGCCTCTGTGCTGTCAGACTCACCAATCTGTCCTCATTTTCTTTTCTTTTCTTTTTTTTTAAATTAAGAGTTCTGGTACAGGACTGAATGGTTCTGAAGACTGATAATTGGCTAGAGAGTCTTTCATCTCTAGGACACCAGGTCATATCTGGCCCAGGTCAATAGTGAATGAAAGTCTTTGGCATCTGAAAGCTGTTCTTCTTCCTATTACAAAATGAATTGGTGGTCTCAGTCAAGTTCCTCCTATACAAGTGTCCACAATAATATATGCCACCACCAGAAAAGACACTAGTAGACACGCTTGTTAGCTGAAAGAGGAAGGCCAAGGATTTAAATGGGCTTGGAAACTGAACCATCCGCTCTCCTGGTTCAGAGGTAGCTTTTCCAGTTCAGGGTTTGAGGGGCAGAGTGTTACAGGTAAACTTGTACTGCCCATGCTGTCTCTGTTATGTGGATAAAATCAGGACTTCTGTCTCCAGGGCTATACATCTTGCATCTTTTAGCAGCCCTAAATTATTTTAAAAGGGAAAAAAAGCTAGTAAGTAGATTTCTTTTAGTTGCTTTTAAAATGAAGGGGTCTATTTGATGGCAGACCATACATCTAATAAAACAGTTCTGTGGTCCATACAACGCAAAGAGAATTTCTAGTAGATGCAGTATTAAATTCAGTTTGCTTCCTGAATTTGGGATTGAAATAACAAACATGTGGATTATGCAATCTGAAATTGTTTACAAACTACTGTAAGTTTACAATATATATGAATGTTGTGAGGTACTATCCGGAAAAAGTGTTAATACAATTACAGAGATTTAAAAGCCTTCTTCCAAAAGTTCTATAAAAGGAGTGAAATATTATGTATTTAATATACTTTATCAAGTAATGTATATGTGTCCCTTAGGTCAGAGATATATATTTTGTGCAATACAAATTACAGTAAGGTGCCTACATCAAACTATAAATGGATTTTTATTCCAGTTGTATTTTATCTCAATTAATATTCTGTTCTTGAATAAATTAACTTTAATTAGAGGCAAAGAATCTGCTAATTAATTGCTCAAATAGCAATGTTCTAGCTGACTTAATGTCTTTTTCATGTTGAAATTAGATTTTTAGCTAAGGCTGTTTCTATTAAAATGTGCTAATTGCCCTGTATTGCCTTCTCTTAATTTTCTGATTTTGCAGATCTGTTTAATACAGGCAGAAATGTGCTGCTATGGTACAACAGTCATATCAAATTGTTACTTATTGTAGGCCAATATCTGGGTGTCTTTGGGACCCATTCGCTTTTAAAAATTCGAAATTCAAGGCACTATTAACCCAGAGAGTTTGGGCCAGATATAACTCTCTAATAGCCAATAAAATTGTTGCCTTGATTGCCAAGTTACTAAAAGACCCCAGTAAATAAATAAATAAAGTCATGCCCTGTCTAGTATGTGCTGGGAAATAATATTATGGTATTTTTCAGCAATAAATAATGCTTTACCCACGTATACACAACTGCAGTTGAATATTAGGGATAGCATTCTATATCTGTATGGTTTGACCCATGTAAATCCATAGCTGGAAATAAGCATTCACAATTAAAACACAAACAGCTGCGTTCAGTTTGAATTTACAGGTGCTAGAACTGAGTTCAGAGGCATGCTGCCATGGGCTTTCTCTGTTGTAATTAAATGTTGTAGTGTTATTTGAAAGCCAAGGTGGGTGAGGTAATATCTTTTGTTGGACCAACTTCTGTTGGTGAGAGAAACAATCTTTTCAGCCAGAAAGAGCTCAAAAGCTTACCTCTCTCACAAACAGAAAGAAGTTGGTCCAATAAAATATTACCTCTTCCACCTTGTCTCTCTAATATCCTGGGACTGACACAGCTAAAACTGCACTGCGTAGAGCAGTGTTATTTGAGCATCATCTATGAGCTCTGCACTGTAAAAAATGGAAAAGGCCACAGTCCCTCCCTCACAGTGTTTATCTTCTACATCAGACAGATTTTTCAGGTTTCAGAGTAACAGCCGTGTTAGTCTGTATTCGCAAAAAGAAAAGGAGTACTTGTGGCACCTTAGAGACTAACCAATTTATTTGAGCATGAGCTTTCGTGAGCTTGAGCTGTAGCTCACGAAAGCTCATGCTCAAATAAATTGGTTAGTCTCTAAGGTGCCACAAGTACTCCTTTTCATTTTTCAGGTTAGACATGATGCACCAGATAACTATGTGGTCTGGTCACATAATGGTACAGAAGGATTTTTTTAATACACATTTTAGATTACGGATAAGAAGAGGCTGTGCAGAATACTTATTTTAAGGCAAGATTTTAAAGAACCCTGCTGTATCAATACAGGTATATCGATGGGAGCAGCTTAGTCTAAACAGATTTTAGCTTTAAAAGTGAATTTCCTTGCTCATGTGGGTTTAATTTCGATGCTTACAACTGTGTTAGCATCTCAGTGACTACATTGACCCAGTCTCTCAGGCACATCCTTGGAGAGACATGTAGGTTCAGCCACCGTTCCAGCCATTTAAGAAAATTAGTTGTAAAGGGTCCAGTCCCTCCTGTCACAAAGGAGTATGGCATGATGTGGAGCCCTACAAGGGTGGTATGGGAATTGGGGAGACTCCTCTAGTGAATTAGAAGGGGCAGAAACAGAAATATTATTGTACCTGCACAGTAGCTGATATTTCAAATTCTGTAAGAGTCTAGTTTGCAAATGTTACTTTCAAAGCTAAGTTCCTTATCTTGCAGTCAGATCTAGACAGGTCAATCCCCTGCACTCTCACAGCCCAGGATAGATCCAGTTGCAGGCACAGATGTATGAATAGTTAATGCTTGTGAAGCACTTTGAAGGCATACGTAGCACTATATAAATGCTAAGTATCAATAGCTTTTTATTACTTGTAGGAGCATAAAAAGGTAGAAGTTCCATTTGTAAAAAGTTCTGCATTCTAATAATAATTGAAATTGCCCCTATTAATGTGTGAATAATTACCCTGAGCCCAAGGCTTTGTTCACCAAAGTGGATCTCAGAGTGACTTTTTCAGTGAGGTTGTAAACTCTTGTAAATAGGCGTCTGTTATAGGAATGCTGACAGACCCTTGCCCATGGTGGTGCTGACTGCTGCTATCGCATAATGACACTTTAATGTAATGGAACTATTAAACTGTTACATAATGGTGTGTGTTGCCTTGAAATATCTTTTGTTGTTCTTTTCAAGCTGTAGTATTAATGGTTGGGGATACATGTTAAGATCATGCAAATGCAGGATATGCTTGGCATGAGAAAATTGTTCATCTTTGTTTTTAAAAAACCTGTAAGATAACTATGCAAATGTATTTTATTAAAGGGACACATAAAAGATGTAGATTGTGTGTGTTGTTTTTTGTTTAAATAGCCTAGTAAAAAATTCTTTTAATTAGTTGACATGGCTTAGCAATTTTTTTTTGTCATGTGGAAAACTAAATCCTATCCTGCTTCTGTTTAAAGTGCAGGGGAGTATATTGAAAGTTTTGATCAGAGAGGGTTGGATTTAAAATTGCCACAGAGTTTTCTGCTAAGGGCCTGATTCCCTCTCCCCCTCAACCCACATTTATTCATGTGAGTAAACTTTACTTGTTACAAGTAGTCAAGAGACTTCACATTACTCAAATGATTAGATCATGTGGCAATGGATGATTAAGCTTATTTGAAATTTACATAGTACAGGCTAGCACGGATTGAAAAATGAAAAAATTTCTGATGCAGTGGCTCTGGCTCATATGCTACATTAACATCAAGCTCATACTTAACTTTTAAAATTACAATTGTAATGGTATACTATCTCAGCAAATCAAAAAACTTAAGATGAGGGAAAGTCAAGTAACTGTTCATACTATCCTGCAGTCCTCCTTTGCCAGGGTGGACCTGGAAATAAGGAATCAGTGTAGTAAATGCATATTTATAAAAGGCTGGATTCTGCTCCTTTTACTCACATTTAGCATCTTAATCTTTGAGTAACTCTCATTGTGGGGGTGAACCAGTTATCCGCATTGGTGTGCTCTATGCAAACAGGCCTTCAGGAAAGCACTTACGCACATGCTTGAGTCTTGTTGCCTTTTTCCAAGATGGAAGTGGCCCATGCTCTTGTTTTTAATATTTTCTTTACTAGACTGTATTCAGAGTTCCACTCACTCTTCATCCAATTTGGGGAGATGAAAAAATCATTTAATCCTACCCGAACATCTCTGAAATTGCTTCAAAAATGGCTTGTGAATCTAATTACTTGCCCAGAATTTTGAAAATGTTGTTTAAGCAAAACAGATATGCATCAGGAGCACAACAAATTTTTGACCATCTGGCATTAAGTAAATAACATTAATATACAATCATATTTAAAACTCAGAGGTGAAATATATGGAGATAGATCAAAAGTTAGAGATGGGCAAGACTTATATGATCCAGTCCATCTCCATTCAAGTGCAGGATTATTCTCTACAAAGTGCCGTTCTTCCCTTTGAAATTGTTGCTGCCAACTTCAAAAATTCAGTTATTTGAAATATACTTTTACTCCTTCAATTGTCAGATCTATGGCAGAATAGATGACTTTTTGACTGGGAAACTTACCGTGTAGTCTTAAAGACAGGATTAGTTGTGGTGTTAGCAGAGGACAGTATTTCTTGTAGAAGTGCATTTGAGGAAGGGAGATAGTTGGAGGACGAGGAATCGTTTTAAAACCTATTTATAAACTTTCAAATTTGTTTTACTCTGGTGTCCTTGTCTTTGTTTAATCTGTCATGGGATGCACTAGCTATGCGATATCTGCCCAACAGTCTGATCATTGTAAAACAAACTTCATTAGAAAATTCCAGTATAATAAGATTTTGATCTCTCTTGACTCAAGATTCACTGATTTGTGAAGTGGATATTTACTGAGGCAAAGTATGAACAGTGACAAATCTTAATGTTCGTATTAACAGAAATCAGTATCTACTTATTGTTTCCTTCATAAGTTGATCTATTATGGCTACGAATTTTAAAAGGATGAATTAACTTTCCAAAGGGGAGATGAAGTTACAGCCCAGAATAAAGCTGTTGCTCACCTCTCAACCAATCAAGATTGTCATCTTTTGTATCTGTCAGTCTAGCAATTAGTGTCTGCTGTCTGATTAGCTCATCAGAGGTGAATTATTGTCACTGAGTCTTAATGCAGCTAACTGACCCAGACCTCAGAATTTGAGGTAAATAATGGAAATCTAACTAGTTATGTGATTTTTAATTCATGTGTTAGAAGTTTTATCTTGTATTCAACAATTTGTCACTTCCTGCTCCATCTAGCACTCTCAAGCAAAGCTTATAAAGATTCTTCTGCCATGTCTATTATTAATTAAGTTTATTAGAGTCGGGCATAAGGACCAATCAAGAACAGAGCCACATTGTACTAAGCACTCTATAAACACAATAGTAGACACCCCCTGACCAGAAGACCGTGTAGTCTAAATGCAGGTAATATCCAATTACATTAACTCTCTTTCTAAATGTGTTTTACATCTGAAAGTATCCAGTTTATCTTTCAAATTATGTCGACATTTTATTCACTGTTAACTTTTTTTTTTATCCTTCCAAAGTTGATCTCACCGTAAGTAAGTAACACTTCCATTGGCCGTTGAGTTTCATAGCAAGTATGTGGACTTTACTACCAATCGTAGTCACAAGCAGACAGCAGCATGAGCTAAGACAATACAATCATTGGCTTCTCTTTTTGAGGGGATATAACAGAAAATTACATTGCTCAAAGATCAGCTACTTAGGGCATGTCTATACCACAAGCTTTTGCCAGTGCAAATTATGTTGCCATAAAGCCGCCGCAGTTAGTATCATAGACGACTGGTGCCTCCCCATACGGGGGGTGGGGGGGGCACCAGCTAAAGGGGAGGACATATGACCTCCCCACGTGTCTTTGCCCTGTCCCCTGCCTGGGGCTCCCGCACTCTCCCCACCCTCTTCCCCCACCCCATGTTACCTGTGAGGGACTCTGCCCTCCCACTGCACCTGCTCCCCCCCAGTACATTCAGCTGCTCTCCCTGGCAGCAAGACCCAAGCGGGGAGTGGGACGGAGCTGCTCCTGGTCACTGCTCTGTGCAGTGTAGCCAGCTGCCTGGGAGAGAGCCTGTGTGGGGAGGGGCAGCAGCGGCAGTCTGCTGCCTGCCCGGGCTTGGCTTCTGGGGACAGGGACTGAACATGCCGGGAGGGCGGAGGGGCTCTGGCTTTTGCTCGGCCACTGTCCCTGGAAACCAAACCTGGGCGGGGGCAGCCCGCCACTGCTGCAGCCAGGCGCTCTCCCAGGCTGCTGCTGTGCTGCACTGGGCAGTGTCCCAGCGCAGCCAGAAGAGGCTTTGGCCCGGCCCCTTCTACACTGGCCCTGGCCCCGGCCCCACCCTTTCCGCTGCCGGCCCACCCACTGACACGTCGCCTCTGGTTAGTATATTGCTTGTGTGCACATACTTGGCTCCTTTTGTCAGTACTGCGCAACTCAACAGGAGCTCTTGTTTTGATGTGCAGTGCATCCTGGGTAGGTATCCAAGAGTGTAACTTGCCACTGTCCAGTACGCTGTCTTACAGGAAGTTTTGGCAATGCATGGTGGGGCAGCAACAAGTTGTGTTGGTGTGACTGGAACTGTGGGGTCAGGTTCCCATCATGCAACTTTCTCCACTCCATAATGCCCTCTGTATCTCATAATTTTCACTCCTGTTTTGAACCTCCCATGAACCAGCATGGAACTTGTCACTGTCTGCCAGCTCTGACAGAAGCATGGAACCTGCACAGCTTTGCAGTGTTATCATGAGCACTGCAAGCACAGGACACATGATCCTCTGGTATTTGCAGAGCTGCGAGAAGAGCCATGGAGAATATGACAATTTACTGGAGAGTGGACTGCTGTGGGACATAATAAGAACCAATTCAAAATTGCTGGTGGCATTCATGGAGCAGTGGCAAATGGTGGAGCACGGCTTCTGGACTCCAGAAATGAGCCCTGTCTGGTGGGATCACAGTGTGATGCAGGCTTGGGATGACAAGCAGTGGCTGTAGAACTTTCAGATGGGCAAGGACCCCATTCCTGAATCTGTCTGCTGAGCTCACCCCAACCCTTTAGCGCAGGAAGGCCAAAAAGAGAGCTGCACTGACCGTGGGGAAGCGAGTGGCGGATTGCACTGTGAAAACTTGCAGCCCTCGATTGCTACAACTCAGTGGGAAATCATTTTGGAATTGGAAAATCCACTGTGGATGCTGTTGTCACGCAAGTGTGAAGGGTCAGTAATCGTCTCCTACACAGGACTGTGTCTCTCAGCCATGTTCAGGACATGATGGATTTTCAGCCATGGGGTTCCTGAACTCCCGTGGAGTGGTAGACAGCAAGCATATCCTTATTTTTCCAGCAGGCCACCTTGCCGCAGAGTACATCAATAGAAAGGGCTATTTTTTTATGTTTATGGAAGCACTGGTGGATCACAGGAGATGCTTCACCAGCATCAGTGTTGGCTGGTCAGGGAAGATGCATGAAGCTCACAACTTTAAGAACACAGGATTTTTTCAGAAAGGTACAGGCAGGGGCCTTTGTTCCAAACCAGTGGATTACCATTTGTGATATTGAAATGCCAATAGTGATCTTGGGGGATCCAGCCTACCCCTTTCTCTCCTGGTTCATGAAGCTCAGCAGCACCAAGGAAAGATTCCTCTATAGGCTCAGCAGCTCAGAATGATAGCTAAATGTGCTTTTGGTAGGTTGAAGGGATGCTGGCGTTGTTTACTCACAAGATTGGATCTCAGTGATAAAAATATCCCAATGGTTATAGCTGCCTGCTGTGTCCTGCATAATATCTGTGAAGCAATGGTGGAAAAGTTGCCGCCGGGGTGAAGGGCGGAGGTGGAGCGTCTGTCTGATGACTTTGAACAGCTGTCAGAAAGGCTATCAGAAGAGCTCAATGTGGAGCTATATGACTCAGGGAGGTTTTGAAAGAGTACTTTAACAGCAAGCCACAGTAATGTATTCTAGTATCAGAGGGTTGCCTTGTTAGTCTGTATCCACAAAAACAAGTAGTAGTCTGGTGGCACTATTGGTGTTAAATTAATACCATTAATTTGGGCTTGAATAGGGACTGGGAGTGGCTGGCTCATTACAAAAGCAGCTTTGCCTCTCCTGGAATGGACACCACCTCATCTATCATCCACCCCAATCGAATTGGCCCTGTGAACACTGGTGCTCCACTTGTCTCTTCTCTTCATTTGTCATTATATAATGCCTGCATCTGTAATTTTTCACTCCATGTATCTGAAGAAGTGGTTTTTTACCCACGAACGCTTATGCCCAACTAAATTTGTTAGTCTTT